CAAGGCCAGTGGAGGTCGCCATGTCAGAATTGTCTCCAAGAAGGGAGGTAGACACAGGGATGGAATCGTAGCTTTGCACATGGCCACCTCGAGGCTGTGCAGGTGTGGTGTGGCCCCCACCCACGGGAAGAGCGAGTCCGTCAGCTGCATGATATGGAAATGGGTGAGCTGCTCCCACAGCCTTGTGCTGAGAGACGTCCTTGACCTTGGCGGCCCGCGGCCCCTTCATGCCACCCAGCGAGCCCATGGCCCTCAATCATCGAGACTCTGGCTCCGCCCAGATTACATACACTTTTACACATGGTCTTTTCTGTGCTTCTCAACAGCTCAGGAGAGCAGCCCTGCACATCCACACTAATAGGTGAGGGACCTCAGGGAGGGTAGAAGTCACATAGCCAGGGAGGGGTTTGAGCCAAGACTAGAACAATTGCCTTGGTCCTTGCAGATTTATCCACAAAAACAATGACAATCGTGTGGAGCCCTTATAGTAGTGGGATCCTGAGGGCTGATGGGCTCAACACAAGGGAGGAGGGACTTGGGAGTGAGAATGACTTATGGCCCTAGGTGGGCACTGCGCATGTGGGGTGGGAGCCCTGGTTAGGCTGGGCAGTGCTTAGGGCTTTAAGGAGGCCCAGGCTGCTAATGAAACATGACTCTTCCTTAAGCCTGAGGTGCCACTCAAGGCCCATCACAGTTCATCTATCCAGACTCGTTAGGCCAGGACCCCCTCCTTTGGGCCAGAGCTCACTCATCTATTGCCTGACCAAGCCATCCCAGCCAGGGCTGGGACTAGGGTGAGTCAAGTAAGGAGCCTAGGGTGCAAGATTTGAAGAGGCATTCACTGTCAGGACCGTGCAAGTGCAGGCTAGCACCAGCAGGACCCTAAGACAGAGTCTCTTCTACCTCCCCTCTCCCTCCTGCCTTCACTCTAAGCTTTGAGCTCCTAGAGGGCAGAGACTGTGCCTGCTACTCCCTTGGGGCCCCCGGCCCAGCATGTGGGCCGTGCAGTGCTGTTCTGAGAACTCAATAAACATTTGTCCGTGGTCAAGCCTCAGCTTTCGTTCCTGAAAGAGAAAGAGTTTAAGCAGGGAAGAGCATGTGTGTGTCACTCAATCTAACCGATTCTGGTTTGGCCAGGGTCTGGGCTTCTCATTTGCTAAATATAAGCAAATGGAATGTCGAGGGGGAGAACCCAGTGCCCTTGCAAGATTCACAAAGTCCAAGTCAGGGGCGCCTGGGTGGCTCAGTGGGTTAAGTGGCTGCCTTCGGCTCAGGTCATGATCCCAGGGTCCTGGGATGGAGCTCCGCATGGGGCTCCCTGCTCAGCGGGGAGCCTGCTTCTCCCTCTCCCACTCCCTCTGCCTGCCACTCCCCCTAGGGACGACAGCGAGATCTAATCCGGGAAGTCAAAGCAGCTACTGGATGTGCATCGAATGTATCGACTTTCTACTTATCAGGACTGGAGCAATGAGCAGGATCGATCCATTGCTTTTGACTGCCAGTGAGTGCTGCGCGCCGATTGGTCCGGGTTAAGGAAACGAGGAAAAAAAGGCGTGCACGTGGGAGCCTCGGTCAGAGACTGGCGCGGTGGTGGGAACGAGGCCGGCGAGGGACCATGGCGTCGCTCAATTGCAGCGCCGTCGTCTGCGTGATTTGCTTGGAAAAACCCAAATACCGTTGCCCCGCCTGCCGCGTGCCTTAGTGAGCGCGGGGGTTGTGGGGAAGGGGACCGGGCGGGGGCCCCGGGAGGGTCCGCACGACCTTCCAGGCTGACGCGGCTCGTGGCCTCTCTTGTTACAGCTGCTCGGTGACCTGCTTCCGGAAGCACAAAGGTAAGGCCCCGGCGTCCGCCGCCCCCCGAGCCGCCGCTCTCCTCGTGCGGGCAGCCCCCACGTCCCGCCGCGCTCCCTCCCGGCCTTGCCTCGCCCGATCCTGTCGGAGCCCCAGGGGGAGCCTCTGCCTGTGAATGCCTCCCCGGATTTTGAAGTCAGAAACTTCTGCTCTGCCTTTTCTCCTACAGACTGTCCTTCCCCCCACCCCCGGCGCCCCCCTTAAAAATCGGCGACTGCTTTGGCCATCGAAGTCAGCCCTAGCAGTTTCTTCATCTTAGTATTCTGACTCAGAAGCAGCGCTGGCTGTAGTTAAGACCATTTTCTTTAAGTGCCTGGCTAGAAACAACGAGGTAGATCTGTTTGCCTTAAGGAGTGATTAGTGCTGTTAAATCTATATTTTAACTACAATCGGGAGCCTCTTAGTCCTCAGAGACCGTTCCCCACGACCTCATGCTGAGTTGACTCTGGTTAAAGTCCTATTGGTTTTTTGCGTCTAGTGTGATTCTACCCGCCCCGCCCAGTCTCTGGCTTAGAGGTATGTTTCAAGCTGCATTGCTCCGCCTGCTATTTTTGTTTTTTACCCTAGTATCTCTGGAGCATTTTTAAAGGAAATTTGTCAGTTCAAGATAGAGAGGAAAGAAGTAGAACTGTTTTGCTGGAAATAGGGTTGGGGAGCCAGGTAGGTTAGCTTTGCTCTGGCTGTGCAGCCCCTCTAAGAACCCCTAGGGCAATCCGGGGCAATCTGGAGCTCTTCAGTGTGGCCCTGCTGCTGTCAGGGTTTCTCCTAAAATGCACATTTGAGTAATTCACTCCCTTGTTGAAAACTCCAGCCTCTCTAGCAAAGGGAGGCGGTGGTTCTTAGCCTAGGTATTGCTCTCCCTAGGGAGACACATTGTGACAATGTGTTTCAGGAGCTGAGGAGGGTTGGGGCCACTTCTGGCAATCGGTATTTGTGCAGATAAATATCCTTTGGTGTGTGAAACCATCTCACACCGGTAAAGACCCTTCCACCCTGAACATCACAGTGCCTTTGATGAGAGACACTGGTCTTGGGAAGAAAGGCCATCCTCCCGTGTGGCATTCTTCTCCTGCTTCCTCCACTTGCAACCCAGCCACCTGCCAGGCCTGCCCCGTCAATCAGCCGCTAGTCGCGCATCACTGTGTCCTTGCATGTGACCCTATTTTTCAGGGGTCTGGTCCAGCTGTAGACCTTTCCCTCTGCCGGGAATGCTCTTTCCACCTGGCAGCACCTCCTCTTTGTCTCTCAGTCCTCTCAGGTGACATCAATCAGACTCTTATCGCGGGCTCTAGCTGCCAGCCATAAGGCTCAACTCCTTGAGGTGGGCCTGATGACTTTCATCTGTGTCATCCCAGTGGCACGTAGTACATGCAAATTTGGTATCTGCAACTGCTGAGAAAATAATTTCGCTAATTGAAGTCAGTGTGCCACTTAATCTTGGGGAGAGCCCTGTGAGGTTAGGCAGGGTGAGAAGGATGGGGACAGACCTCAGGGTGCATGAGGCCTGCTTCCTCCACCCTCTGTCAGGCTCAGGATTGCTTGTTTTCTGGGTGCTGCCCTTTGATTGGATCCCTCAGTTCCTCTGCGTCCATCTCCATCCCCACCCACATCCCTTACTACGTACATGTTCCCCACCTAGATGCTGACTCGGTGGGGAGGTGCATCTGATTTGTGTCTCTTTCAGAACAGTGCAACCCTGAAACTCGTTCTACTGAGAAAAAAGTAAGGTCAGCTGTTACGGCAAAAACTATAAAGCCTGCGGAAAACAAAGGTGGGTTGCTTGACTTCAAAAAAACCACCTCGGAAGGGGTTTCAAACAGAAGCTGAAGGAGGAGACGTGGGTTGGGACAGGGAGTCAGGAACGAAGCCTTCATCTTAGCTCAGAGCACCAGGAGGGGGGGCACCTGTTGTGTATTTTAGAGCAGCCTGAGGGCATTGTTAAGGACAAGAAATAAGGGGGTGAGAGGCAGCTGGCTGTGGTGTGGGGGTGAGGGGTGGACCCTGCTGGCAGGAACCTTCTCCAGTCATAGCTTCAGGTCTCCCTCCCTGGGCCTGGATGGAGCGGTCCGTTCACCTGAGCTAGGCTCAGGTGGGAGGCTGCCTTTGACCTAGCTTACCTCCCTGCTGCTGGGGGCTCCTCATGGCTTATTGTGGGAGTGGGCTGTCAGCCCATCCATCTCTACAGATTTCAGTATCTCCTAGGTGTCAGGCACCATGCCAGCGTCGGAAGGCAGCCCCTCCTGGTGCCAGCAAAGAGGTATTGAACATTCAGAGCATGGGATAGCCTATTTCTGCCCTTTGAGAAACTTCCTTGTTGGGTTTAGGCAGTGTCAGAAATTTTTGGCCATGCTGAAAGCACAAGGTATTCATGGTAGGAGGTTTTTACAGAGCACCTAGTTTTTTGGCCCCTGACAGAGCTGGAGCCATAGTGAGGAGAGCTGGGGGGATAAGAACTGGAAAGTCAGTCTCCTGGCCCAAAGACCACAGAGAAACAAGTAGAACAAGCATGTGAACATGCTAGGATGCATTTGTTAAACTCCCCAATTCTTAGCTTCACCCTCCTTCCCCAAAAAGAGGAATGTTGGTAAAGTCACAAATTGCAGAAAAGGTCATTTTTGTTTTGTCAATACCTGCTTACCCCTGCTGCTGTCAGTCACTGGTGTGCACATTTATCTGTTGGAGTAGTTCGTCTGGCAGCTAGGTTTCTAGTCGTAATTAGTTGTGTTCTGTATTCCTCAGATGATGATGAGGACTCTGTAGCTGACTTTCTCAATAGTGATGAGGAAGAGGACAGAGTTTCTTTGCAGAATTTAAAGAATTTAGGTAAGTGTGCTGTGCTTGCTTCTGTATCAACCACTGATACATTTAATCCAATGTATAGAATGTGATTTTTTTTTTAAGTTACTAAATACAGGTGACCTTTGAACTGCACAGGAGTACGGCTCCCTTCCGTCCACCCTGCAGTTGAAAATTTGTGTATAACTTCGGACTCCCCTAGAACTTAACTACTAATAGCCTACTGTCGACTGGAAACCTTACTGGTAACGTAGTCGATTAACATACAGTCTGTATGTTGCATGTATCATATGCTGTATTCTTACAATAAAGTAAATGAGAGAAAAGAAAACGTCAAAAAAATCATGAGAAAATACATTTACATCACTGTATTTATGGGGAAAACTCCATGTATAAGCAGACCTGTGCAGTTCAAACCTGCGTTGTTCAAGGGTCCCTGTACTTGAGTGTGGCACGCAGAGCCCTTCAGCCACATGACCCTGTAAACACTCAGGGCTTCCACACTTCCCTGCCTTCTTACAACTCCCTAGGCCTGGAATCCTACTGGTTCTGTGAGTTGGCAAAATTCTCCTCCCTCAAGCTTGGTTCAGGTTACCCTTCCTCAGCTCAGTTTTTCTTGATCTTTTGTCTTTCTCAGAAGCAAGCACTTTTCACCTTCCCATGGCGCCTTGCAATATACCACTCGTATTTTATGGTACCTTCTCTCCCCCACACCGGTCTGTATGGCAGGGGCCTGCATTTACCCCACCTCCCCAGTGCTCTGTACGTGGTCTAGCCATTCAAGCAGACGGTAACCCCAGGAGTTGGGAGTTTTAGAGGGATGAGGAGGTTCGTAACACCCGGTGTTTCTGTAGGCCCGTGTGGTCTGGCCTTGGGGCCATTCTGTGGCCCAAGTGATGAACGGGCCAGGGTAGTTCCTACACGTGGGAGGTTTCACTTCCGTCTCACCGTCAGGCCTACCCTGCTGCGCACCCAGTCCCACAGCAGGGAGGAGACTGAGGGCAGGTGTGAACAGTTTTGTAAACTAAGGCACCATGCAGATGTTGGCGTCTGTTCATTGCTACTGAGCCTGCAGTGAGGGTCATGTGCTGGTTTCTGCAGCGTTCAGAGTCTTTGGCGTAATTCTTCTCATCAGGGAGAACCTTTAGGCCTGTGAAGAATAACGTGCCAACAACTTCATGTTGTTCGTTGTATTTGTGCTGGTATTTTTCTTAACTTGAAATGGCGTAAATTTATAGAGATGCCAAGAACAAGAATGTGTGATGGCATTTAACTGGAAATCATATGCCGTGCTGACCTCCTCTTGTTTATGTGGAGCACTGGTTCCATTCTTGGGTTTAAAGGTGGAGGGGATGCGGCACCCTTGATCTGTACTACATCGGACGCATTTAGCTTTTAGCTGTCTGCATCTCTTCCCACTTGAACTCACACTGGCTTTCTTGTTCATTTTTAAGGAGAATCTGCAGCATTAAGAAGCCTGCTGCTCAACCCTCACCTTCGACAGCTGATGGTCAGCCTCGATCAGGGCGACAACAAGGCGAAGCTCATGAGAGCCTGCATGCAGGAGCCCTTGTTTGTGGAGTTTGCAGACTGCTGTTTAAGGATTGTGGAGCCATCCCAGGATGAGGATTCCTAAGATGGATCATTGTGCTGCTCCCTGGAACATGTGCATGACTCTTAGAGCCTGCCCGCGCCCGCCAGGGAAGAGCTAGCGTGGGGCCCTCAGCAAGGATGCTGACTTCCAGGCTGGCTGGCGTAGGGTGGGCCCTACAAAGGCTTTATCTCCAGCACTGTAGGCGTGGGTTTCAGGCAAGAGGAGGATACTCGAGGTGACAAACCCTTTATGGAGGGAGAATTTGACATTCCAATGGTGGTGTTTAAATGTTTTAATTTTGGTAGCGTTTAGACATCACACATGATTTGTCAAGTTTCATACCCATTTGAGTTAAAACTTGCTCACTGCTGCTAAATAAAATCAGGATATGGTGATTCTATGGTAAATGGCATTGTTCATCCTTAGTTCATAATTGCTTGAAATTGCATTAAATAAATCAACACATTAAATAGGTTTTGTTCCTTTCAAAGGAACTAAATGCAAATATCCCAGTCGAAATTTGGGGGCTACTTTCAAGCTAACTCGGCCTGTTCTGTTTGCAGGGAATCGGGGGTGCCCCACTGTAGTGATGGACTACACAGCTGAGTCGGATCTCTGAAGGTAGTAAAATGGGGGAAATCCTTTGTGACCCTGAGGTTTCTTAGCCCTGGTTTGCTAACCAACCCCTGACGTCTGTCAGGGCCTGAGATGTCCACAGAAGCCCCAGGTGAGTGCAGGGGCTGCAGCAGCTGTCGCTCGCTCACAGGAGCTTGGAGTCGTCGTGGAAGTAGTGCAGTGGCGTGTGGATTAAATGTCTTTGGCAAAGCAGCTGGCAGGAAAAGGCCTTGTAGACACAAAGGCACCAAGGGGTTGCCCAGCCAGGTGAAGCTAGAAGGTGAGAAGACCTCACCTGTGGCCCAGGCTGTCTCTCTCCAGCAGAATCTGATTAAAGCCAGTAACACTGTAGGGTAAGGGTTCAGGGCAGATGTCTGCATATGGCAGGGGAGACTTTCTGCAGTGGAACTTGATCGAGCCCTGGGGGAGGGGGGAGGGAAGAGAAAGAGACCGCTGAACCCCAGCTCCCGGGAGTGCCAGCCCTCCGGGTGCCCCCCCCCCCTTGCCGAGCCAATGCTAGAAATGCTAGAAATGCGGAGATGTGGAAGAGCACTGGTAGGAGACCAACAGCAGGAGCAGGATTGGGTTCCTGCTCTTTGCTCATTCTAAACCAGTGGCAAATTAAAATACAACATTTCACATCCATTTGGTGTGATGGATGAGGGAGCTCTCCCCTAATAAGAGTATTACCTGCCACAGTCTTAAGACTGCTTAAAACTGGAAGAGGGGTGCCTGGGTGGCTCAGTTGGTTAAACGACTGCCTTCGGCTCAGGTCATGATCCTGGAGTCCCGGGATTGAGTCCCGCATCAGGATCCCCGCTCAGTGGGGAGCCTGCTTCTCCCTCTGACCCCACCCCCTCTCATGCTGTCTCTCATTCTCTCTCAAATAAATAAATAAAATCTTAAAAAAAAAAAAAAAAGACTGCTTAAAACTGGAAGAGAAAACAATCCCACTTTTGTTTATACTCTGGCTGGCCTGTGTGTTGTCATGGGAGATCTTCAGGTTACGTCCTATCGTAATTCCTCTGGTATGAAAACTCACTGTTTTCTTTTGACTTGTGTCACTTAATCCTGGCCGGGACCCCATGTAGTAGGTTGAGCATTAGCCCACTATGTGTTGGCTGACTCTTTCCTTCAGCGGCCCGTAATATAAAAACAGAGCTGTTGAACCGCTGACTACCTGCTTGTCATTTGTGCGGCTGGAGCAGGGGATAAACCAAGTAATAATGTGAGGAAAATAGGATGCTAACTTCAGAATAAGCTGTCATCACAACCCAAATTTTAAAAAGTGGGACTAATTAAATGGAGGTTCAGAGGAGAAGCCAGAACACTCAGAGGCAGTTTTTAAAAAGTGAAAGGGCTCTGGAAAATTCCTACTTGTAATGATGGATACCACCCAAACCAGCCAGTTGGGAGGCTCAGGCTTCTGGCTTCCCGAGCAGGGTCAGGACGGCTCTTGTCCTAGTCTCAGTCCTGCTCCTGCCGTGGACTCATGGGCTTTGGCTCCTGCCTTCTACAAGGAGGTGTGAGGGACCCAGAGCCGTGCTTACCTGAGGCAGCGCTCGGATGGATGTGACACCAGCTTGTCCTTGGGCCGTCTGGACTGTGTAGCTACTGGGGCTCCCCGTGGGGAGCTGGAGGCAGGCCCAGACCACCAGCTTCCTCTGAAAGCCGCGGACACCCACAGCTGCGTTGGCCAGGACCAGTCCCAGGGGCCACAGGCGGATTACTGCCGCCAGGAGGCTGGTCTGTGTCTGTGGCAGCAGGAGGGAGCCTGTGGGAAGGGGAACTTGAGACAAGAGGTTTTCTTCCACACCATCCAGTTCTTTCGAAGCAAGGAAGGCCATTCCAATCTAAAAAAAAGAGTGCCACTTTATAGCTTTTAATGTATTAGTTCTTAATGGAAACCAAAACTATCTTTAACAAGGTAGCTTAACAAGGTGACCTGAAGGGCACCGGGCTGTAGAACAGCTGGATGCCTTCAACTAGATGGGCACCATGTGGCCAAACTTCTTTATGCCCAGGGCACCTGTGCTTAGGCCTTACGTATGCTACTGTAAGAACAGCCTTGAGATCTCATTGATACACCATAAAATTCACCCCTTTAAAGTGTGTAATTCCATGGTTTTTAGTATATGCCCAGAGGGGCTGATGCCGCCCTTTCTGTGTCCCAGGAACCCCACCCCAGGGCCGTCGGGTACCGGCCGGCCGCTGCCCATCCTGCCCACAGGGTCAGATACTCACTCGCCACCTCCGCCACGCACGCCCGATGACCGTGGCAGCTGCATGCAGCCTCCGCACGTGTTTCCGAGCTAGCCAGGACCGGATGGCTGAGGGGTTTGCCCAGAAACAAGAAGTGAACTGTTCTTAGAACTATGGGTAGCCTGGCCCTGCAGCCACACCCGAGCTGCTGAAGAAGCTTGGAATCGGCGCCTCTTCAGGGGATGGCTAGCCCACACCGCCCCGGGAGGGAGGGAACAGAAGTGGGTACTGAAGTGAACTTGGCTCTGAAAGACGCCCCTCAGACCGTCAGCCTGGGACAGACGTCGTGTGCAAGGGCCGCAGGGAGCAGGCTGAAGTTGCCTAGCGGCCTTACGAATTCATAAACTGGGACCCCACTGGGCACCCACGTGTTGGTAAAGGTGACACTACTGGATGGCAGACTGGCAATTTTCATTTCCTTCTGCAATTTCAGCATTTTCTGGTTCTTTTACATTCAGAACAGGGGCTATTCCATTCAATATGTTTGGATTCTAGAAAACTAAAAAGCTTAAAGACCGATCCAAATCCTGCTATCTCACCAATGCAGACAGTTCTTTAGTTTCCTTACTCTGTTTTTTTAGGCCCATACACACAGAAACACACCTGAGGAAGGTGGCATCACCCTTGACGTGCAGTTTGGCATCCTGGTTTGAACATCACATTGGAAGTAGTTTTCCATTAAATTTAAAATATTCTTCTAAAACACTTCCTAGCTGCATCATAAGGATGGTCCGTAATAGCCATGACTTTACCACTGCCAGCTATGTGGGTGGTTTCTAGTATTTTCAAAGTAAGACTGCAGGGAACATGGTTCCTATAGCTCTTCTTTTGATGATCAAATCTGGTCAGTTTTTACCTTCTCAAACTCATTACAAGCCCTGGACCCAACACATAATGATTTGGCATAGAGGCAAAGGAAGGTGGCATCAGCCACTCTCTAGGTCTGGGAAAGGGGCATTAAAGGCAGATTTTCAGCCTCTGCTGCCTCCAAAGCACCCTTATTTGTGGTGTCACCTGGTTTCCACTGAACTGGGGAGACACTAATGAGAATTCGAACCCCAGTGTACCATAGGGTCGTACCGTCAGTGTCTTGAGGCTGGGACACAGCCTTGGCATAGGGCGTCTCCAGGGAACCCGGACCACGTGGGGTCTGCACGTGGGCCATGTGCCCCGAGCCCATGCACCTCGTACCTGCCTGGATGAGCACGGCTGCCCGCCTCCGCCTCCCCTGCTTGCGGTACCAGTGTCGCCTCCAGCTGCCCTGGATGCGGCGGGCACACTGCTCCAGCACCTGGGCACGTCCATGTTCCAGAAGCTCCAACTGGGAGAAGGGGCATCCGCTGAGGGCCTCAGCCTCTCCTCCCCCTGCCCTGAAGTGGTCCCAGACCCGGTCCTGCTGAGGAGAGCACGCGGCTGGCTTCGGGGAACTCCCTGCCTCCTCACAAACCAGCTTACCGTAGAGTCTGTCATGAACACCTTGGTCCTGCCACAGTGAACTGGGGCTGCTGAGGCCTCAGCTGGGTCACCAGGTGCGGTGGCTGCCTGAGTCAGAGCTGGAAGAGTGTGGAGGATGTCCTGGAGGAGAGGTTGCAATGTGGCCGCCTCGGTGCATGGAGACCATTCTGTGGGATGGGAAACGGAGGTCCCATCAGCTCTTGGTCATCCACACGCTTCTGTGGACTGGAGAAACCGGTTCTGGTCTCCCCAGTACTCCACAGGCTTCTCTGCTGCTGTTCCTGCCTCTAACCACTTCCCCATCCTTTTTTGGGGGAGGCCAGAGGTGACCCCTCTAGTGTTCCTCAGGCCCTGGCTGTTGGGAGGAATACAGGAGTCCCCGCTTGTGGCTGTGCCCTGGGCTGGCCTGCAGCCTCCATCCCCACCAGTCCCCTCGGCAAGCTGGCAAAGGGCGCTCGGTGCCTGCCCCCAACCTGGAAACCCAGGCTACTCGGCGTTTGTTCCAAGGCCCCAAACGTGCGGGGGACCAAGCAGGGCAGCTGGGCCGCTCCCTCTGCCCTGGACCCCTTAACTCCCTGCCACATATGAGAAAAGGGAGAACAATCCCCGTCCGACAGAGGCCCAGCAGGTGCCCCTGCCTGCCCTCCCGCAGTGTGCAGGGCTGTCTCCTGTAGAGGATTTACCTGAGGGCTCTGACCACCTTTTGCTGCCCAGCGCCTCTCTGGAGAAGAGGCTGCCAAAGAGGACACCGCAGACGAGAAACCGCAAAATCGACCGGGGGCGAAGGGGGCTTTGGGCACGAGACACAGAGCAGTAGAGCAGATCATGAAGAGGGGAAGAAAGAAGTGGGGGAAAAGAATGAAAGGCAAGTGACAAAACTGTGCCTCAGAGAGATGGGAAAGCAGAAGTGTCCCAGGTGGGAGCCGTGGCTGCTGGGCTGGGGTCTGGCTGGGCAGGGGCCTCGCACTCAGTCCTTGACCCCTTCTTCCTCCACCTGTGCGGGGCGGGGGGGGACTTACCCTACATGCTGACAACCCCAAACCGGGACCACACGCCAGACCTTTCCCTTGATGTTAGAGCTTGCCAACGGGATGACTCCAGGGACCTGGAGCTCAGGTCAGCCCTGCGGGGCTCAGCACCTCCCCCAAACCTCTCTTCCCCACTGGCTGGGGGGGCGGGGGGGGCACAGTCTGACCAGTTTCTTCCCAACATTGCCCACTGTGCCCACATCTCTAGCTTGACTCTGGCCAACGTAATAGCCTCGCTCCTATGGCCTCCAGAAAGCACAAGGCTGACGTCACTCCCTTCCTCCTCCGAGGTGCCTCCATCTGCCCAGAGAATACAGCTTGGCTTCTGTGACATGGCCTATCACCCCAGTCTCACTTCCAACTGTTCTTTGCCCGTATGGGCAAGCAACACTGGCCCGGAGTTCCTCACACACAGGGTTGTCTCCTGCATGCAGCCCTCCATTCAACTATCTGTTAGGTGGAATGCTCTTCACCTGGTCAATACCATCTGTCCTCAGACACCACTTCCTCCAGGAAGCCTTCCCTGATTCACATTCCGCAGCACTACCCACGGCACTCTGTTCCCACCTCTGCCTTTCCACTTTTCCCACTGTTTGTCGTCTTTTAGTCTGTTTTCCCGACTGAACCAAGAACCAAGAACCATGAGGGCAGAACTCTGCTCTGAATGCCCAGCCCCTAGCCCCAAGATGGCTCAGGATAGGCGCTCAGTCCACTGTGGCTGAACACACGACCAGCAAATGGGCCCCACTCACCTGAGCGCCCTTCAGCAGGAAGTGGGCTGTGGGGGCCAGGGGATGTGTGAGCACGGAGCCTTCTCAGCAATTCATATCGTTCCACGAAGTTCCAGTGAGGGATCCTGGAAGCCAAGGGCGGCGGAAGAAATGAAGTGTCTTCATCTGTGAGCCTGGAATAGCGCTTGGGGCCAACGGGAGCTCCTCTATTTAATCTACTCAGCAGCTGCCTGACTGTGCCCACAATGAATGGATGAGGTGGTGGTTCTGAAGGGATGACTACGGTCACTCAAAGAAGCCCGTGGAGACCATTTTAAACTGGGTCTGCTCTTCCTGCCGTCTTGGTCTACCCAAACAAAGCTGCTCGCTCTTCTTGTAGGGGATTTGCGACCTGCCTCCTTCCAAAGGGGCTTGCAGGCTTCTCCCCAGTTGGATGGCTCCTGCTGCGTACGTGGTCAGCCACATCTGTGCCTTCTGACCCCACAGCCTCCCTTGCTTCCTCCTGATTTCTCTGCTCCCCTTCACTGCAACACTTAAACAGCTGGTGACACCTTGTATCTATCTACTCCTCCTCCTCCTGAGTCTGGCTTCTGTCCCCAACACTGTTCCCATGTGGCTCTTTCTGCAGCCATCAGCAGACACCACGCCACCAAATCCAGTGGCCAGTGCTCTGACTGGCTGACGGGAGGTGCCCGGCTGACCCCCGTGACCCCCGTGAGCCTGGCTTCCTCCTTCACCCACGACTCCTGCCAAGTTGCCGTTGTTGGTTTCTCGTCCCCTACCCTAAGTGTGAATGCTCCTCAGGGAACAGCTTCAGAGCGCTTCTCTCTCCCCACCGTGATTTCCTCCTTGCTCCTGATGTTACAACCCACTGAGGACAGATCCTCATGCGCCCTCCAGTTCCCAAAGCTCTGGGCCCCGAGCTTGTCTTACAGCCACTGCAAACCTGACGAGGTCACGTTCCTGACTCTCCTCCCATCCCACCTCCAGCCTGTGCCTTCCCCAGACATCCTATCTCAGGGAACTGTCCCCTGATGCATCCATTAACCTCCGATGGAAGCCTGAAGTTTCCTGTGTGAGCTGGAAGCTGACTGCTCCCCTGCCCACACCCCATGGTCATCCAACCCCCAGTCCTGTTTCTATTGCAAGCCATACTCCAATTTCACCCATTTCGCTCCATTTTTCATGGCTGCCCCCCTCATCTGGGTCACCATCTTGCCTATGTACCGGCAACAGCCTTCTCACACATCTCCCTTCTCTCCTGCCCCTACGTCCAGCCTCCACACAGCCACCACAGAACATGAATGGGAACACAGCACTCTCTCCTCACAACGTCCAGTGGCTTCCAGGCCCTATGGACAACTTGCCAAGTCCTCGTGGGACCCATGCGGCCCCTCTCCCCCAGGTCTCTACGCTCCCATCACTTGGGCCTCTTAGTTCCTAAGCTGGGAGCTTTGTGCTTGCTGTTTCCTCCGTTCCCAGAGGCCTGAGCTGCTTAGAGGGCCCCTCCCTGACCAGCCCCAAGATCCTCTTCCCCCATTAGTCTCCCAGCAGCATTTTTTGTTTCCTTCCTACACTGATCAACTTTATACTTCTTGTACGTGTACCCACAGGAACGTATGCCCCAAGAGGCAGAGGCTCACCTTCCTTATTCACTGATACTAGAAACTGCTTGGTACAAAACAGTACACAGAAAATGCATGGATAAACAAACGAGTGAAGCCTCTCGAGTTGCAGGTTGACCTCCGCAGACCTGCTTCTTTCTCTTCACCTCCACCTCCTATTCTGGGCTGGGCAGCTCTTGTCACGCCTGAGTCCCAAGCTCCACCCCAGCACCGGCCCTGCCCCGTGCAGCGCTCGGCCCACTCACCGGACAGGGAAGCCAGCAGCACTGATGTGGATGGTCTCCACGAGGCCACAGGCCTCCAGCTGACTCAGGACCTGCAAGGATGGGAGACAGGCTGGGCACCTGCAGCCAGAAATACCACTCCTGCCCTCTCTCTGAGGCTTTACTGTGGCCTTGGTCCGTATGAACCTGCAGGCTGTCTAGAGGCGTGGCTGATGGGGGTCTACTCCTTGGGACCTCAAGAAAATCTCCCTGCTAAAAAGGGTCCTGGTGGCCCCAGGTCCCCTTATCTGATGCCTGGCTTCTGATGCAGCTGAGGCAGGTGCTGGTCCTGCTTTTCTCTCGCTCCTCCAGGCAGTGCAGAGGTCCTGCCTCACCATGCAGCCCAACCCCATTTGTTTCCTATTTATTTTCTATTTTGTGGGCAACAGAGTAAATCATAGCTGAGAGGGAGGAGAGGTTATATTGTAAAGATTCTTCGGGACCAGAGTGGAGAGATCCTGGCCTTAAACCCCCAGGCCAGTTGACTGTGGGACACTCTCCAGCACTGTGCAGCACTCAGACAGACCTCATCCCCATCTCAGAGCCCCGTACCCTGAACAAAGGGCAGCTGCTGGCCACCGACTGCTTTTGTGCGAATCAGAAAACACTCGACCTCCGGTCAGAAATGGCTGCAGTGTGCAGGACTGTAAGGCGACGCAGGCTTTCAGCGAATCACAAAAGCCACCCGTCCCTTGGGGCAGCTTCGGTCTCATCAGGGCACATGATGGGCGAACAGAGTGTCTGATGCAGTGCAGCCTTCCTGGCTAGCTCACTGTGCTGTGCACAGACCACAAAACCGTATGTGACCGTGCTGCCAAAGCAGGGGACACAAGACGCCCTCGTGAGACTCAGCCCGAGAGACGCGCTCTGGGCACTCCATTTGGAGCCTAAGTTCTGCCTTTTGGCCCTTCAGGGCCTTGGCCAGATGGAGCTCCCCGCAAAGCAGCTCCGGCCCCGTGAATTACCTCCTCCTGGAGAAAGGTGTGCGCCTGGCCCTGGCTGTTGGGCTTGATGCAGCGAATGTAGTGGGGCGTAGTGCTATCCAGAACCTGCAGAAGCTGCTCCAGGGAGGCCTGCAGGGGGGGAGACTGCGGGGTCAGGCAGACTGGGGCTGCCTGCACGCATCAGCTGGGCCGTGGTTAGTGACTGCCTCAAACACCTGAGGCGGTCCTCACAGCCCTGAGGCGGGGATGCTCCTGGGCCCTGGGATGATTATGGGAGGTGCTCACTGAGTCCAAGCACCCTCCTGGCCTGACCTCCCACTGCTCCTCACCCCTGCCTCCTGGGGCCTTCCTGACCTGCGATCCTGCACCTGGTTGGTCTCTGCTGCCCTCCCCCCACCCTCCCTGGTGCAATCTTTCTGGAAGAGCACAATCTCGGAAGCCAAAGCCATTCATTCAGGCAACAGCTGTTCTCATTAAGCCCATCCTGTGTGCCCGGGGAGCTGTGCTGGGGCAATGACAAGGTCAGTCTGCGGCTCAGAGCCCAGGGTCTGACAGGCTACACAGACATGGGGTGGGCCCCCTCAGTGGCGTGTCTGAGGCTAGGCAGGAAAGTGCCAACAAAATCTGGGCTCCACAAGGTGCTTCCTCTAGGAGGTGATCAGGCTGAGGTTTGAAGAAAGAGAAGGAATCAACTTAGGACAAAGGGTATAGAGGGTGGGAGTGTGGGGGGAGGGGGAGGGGCATCCCAGGAAGATGGAGCAGAATGTGCAAGGGCTCAGAGGTGGCAGAAAGCAAAAAGTGCTAGAGAAGGTGACAAATCTGCTAGCCAAGGACAGCTGGAGCAGGAAGCTGGAGAACTGGGAAGGGATGGGGGCACAGAGGTTCGCGTTAACTATTGCTCTTCCATGACCGCCCTATCGGCAGTGGGTGAGAGACCCTCACTGTGCCACCCACAAGCCCCTAGGCTTCCAATCATGTCAATTATACATCTCTTTGTCAGTTTCCGGTCTCGGTCTTCCCCATGAGACTACCAACTCCGCGTGGACTGGGACCACGTCTACTTGACTTGTCAACACTCCCTGGCACACAGTACCAATCCTGGAAGGTGCTGGGTAAATATCTGAGATTGGTGAATGAACCAAGCACATCATATCAACACCCCCCCAACCCACCTTGAACTTGGACACCACAGTCAACACAGGGGCTCTGCTCTGGCCAGAGGGCTCCTCCTGGGCCTTCTCTTCAGGGTCAGCAGGAAACAGCACCTTGAGTAGGGGGTCCTGGGATTGCTGTAGGAGCCTGGTCAGCTCAGGTGGGACAGGGTCCTATTGGAAAAGGACAAGGGCAGCAGGTAAGGGCACGTGGAGTGCTACCCAGGGCTGTCTACAGGTGTGCCAGTCCTGCTCACCACGGCCCCAGAAGATGGCTTCTGTGGGAGCCCCACTGTGACAGGAGTCATTTCTGGGCAGCTCATGCCTGATTATCAGGGACCTCAGGCAGGCCCAAGAGGTGACTTTGGGCTCTGGGAGGATGTTCAGGAGAGAGAGAGTGCATGACTGCAAACTTCCATGTATGTGCAGCAGTGACTCAACCACCTCATTTCACACCGGCCCCCACAAGCCACAGCCCAGCCCTCACCTTGTTCTTCTCCACCAGACCTGCAGTGTGGTACTGCACAGGGCCCGCGTAATGGACCACGATGAAGCTGGGCTCCCGGCTGAGTTTGTTGTGGCCCAGGCAGGGGCTGCCGGCCAGCGCACTCTCGATGCGTGTCTGGAGCTGGGCTGCACTGCTTGGCCGATTAAGGCGGCATTCCTGCATGGGATGGGATGGGCAGTCAGCCAAACACGAGACGGGCTCACCACAGCCCTCATGGTCCCCACACCCTGTGGTCCCCCAACAGCAGAGCTGTCACACAGTGGCTCTCAGAGGGAAGGAACGTAGGGATTAGCAAGCCCACTTGGCAGATGGGAAGACAGAGGCACAGGGTGGGTACAGTATAGTCTCCAAGGCCCCAAAAAGGCCCCAGAAAGGCCCAACTCTGGTGCTCAGCATACTAGCTGACCCCACCTCATTTATGAGGGAGCAGATGCTGATGGGGCTCCCCTCGAGGAGATCCAAGCAGGGCTGGTTGTCCTGGTAGTTGACAAATGACCACTCCAGACCCTCGACTGCATATTCCTCCTAGGGGACAAAGGTGGGGGTTGGGTGGCAGGAAAAGGCAACTGTGATCTGAGGCCCAGATGGCTCATCCACGGCTGGCCTCAATACCACAGCATATTCCAGAATGACATCAAAGAAGGAACTAAAGGCTCCTGGTAAGATCCTGGAAGAAGCATTCCACCCCTCACCTGTTGAGCCCTTAGGTAGTGAGCCACAAAGTGCTGTTGCAGCTTCTCATTGGCGTAGTTGATGCACAACTGTTCCAGGCTGTTGTTGGGAAAGGACTCAAATCCGTACACATCCAGCAGGCCTGAGAGGATGGGGAAGAGCCCATGGGGCCGCTGCAGGGGCGGGGGGCAGTTGGGGGGACTACAGGAGCCTGGGGCGAAACCTCACGCTTGGCAGCCTAGAGATGAAGTTAAATGAGCATGACACCCGGCAGAGGGCACAGCTTACACCCCGCCTTGGGGAGGGGCCCATCTCTACTTCATGGCCCGTCAGAATTCAGAGCAGGAAAGAAGACTGAATGAGGTTTGAGGGGCAGCCTAGAGAACATTTTCTATGTCTAATCCAGTTTGGAGGGCCTCGATCTCACCAGCCCAGCTGGTATCTAGAATTCCACTGTCCCTTGAGCAAACTTCACATCTTTGAGCTTGACTTCCTCCCCTGACTATCCCACCCCAGTTCCAACCATGTTAGCGTGTCCCCCAAACCCCCTCTAATCTAGCTATTTTGCCTCTCCCCCGACTGCTCTCCTGAGGCCGGACCTGGGTCTCAGGAGAGAGGAGGGGCCCTCACAGACAAGGCACCATCTGAGTCTGCCTAGAGAGCTACAGACGGGTCAGACATGGGCACCGAGGGCACAGAGCTGTCTTGCCCAGACGTTGATGGATGAGGAGGGGGGGGGAGAGAAGGGAAAAGAGAGAGCTGTGTGGAGTCGCACAGTGGACTCTACTGTTCTTTTTCTGAAGGAGTGCTCCCAGAAAGGTGAGCCCCTGCTACCTATGAAAGTGGTCCAGGAGTCAGGGTCTGCACAGATGCTGCTATTGATCACGGATACCAGCCAGTCAAACAGCCTGTTGGGGTGGGGGTGGAGGGAGAGAGGACTCTGGTGAGAGGTCAGGTGAGCCTGAGGGGTGGCAAGACTGCTCCTCTAGCCAGGGTGCCACACTCTGAAGGGCCTGTATCCCAAGCCTGACAGGCCAGAGGGTCAAACCCTCTCCTCCAGTTCTCTGGCCCATCCTGTCTTGCCCTACCACAGATGCAGTCTATGGTCATGCCTGTTCCTAGGTACACATAAACCTGGCCTGTCCTGCCAGCACGCTGAACACAGGACAACGAGACCTTGGGGCTAGACAGGGAGTGAGTCTCCATCAGTCACTTGGCCAGACACCCAGCTGGTGTCTTGACTAGAAAGGAAGGGGCCGATGGGTAGGCCTGTGTGAGGCTTGCAAAGAACCAAGTTCATTAGACTCCCCTGCAAAACTAGACCTGTGGTGCCTAGAGCTCAAGATCCTGCCACATCCCCCCAACTCGATCTTGCACAAGTGGGCCCCGAGTCACCTGAGGTCAAGTGGCATCCTGCACTCTGGACCATCCCCCACCCCACCCCCAGAAGATGAGGCAGTCACGGTCCTGGGGACACGTTCAGCACGATGTACGGTACTATTAAGGAGTCTCTTTCTTACGGTTTTTCTTAAAGTGACTGCTCTGCAACTTACTGCAGTCCAGTCACTGGTTTCTATTTTCGCCACAGGGGCTTCAAGTGCCCGTCTGAGGTACTAAACACGAGTGACCTGGTGACACAGTGACCCGACCTTTATCCTGTATGAAATGTTCCATTTCACACAGGCTCACTCTGTGGTCATCATATTTATCTTATCTGCTCATTTTGCAGTTACTTAACACAAAGGCTTTAGAAGACTTTGGCCTGAAATCAGCTTCGGTGCAGTGGGAACGAAGTCTCTTGCTGAACTGGGGTCAGTCTGAGCCCAGCTGCCTTGGGCCATCTTCATCTTAGCAGTGCATCTCAGGCTCTTAGACTCTTCAGGAAGTTCATGAAAGCAGAGGACCCTCTCTCCCCAGTGCCCAAGTTCCCATAAGCACGTGCATACGCACATGTATGTGTTCTGTCCCATAGCTGTGCAGGATTCCGGGCCCCTTGATACCTTTACTTGGTACCCTGAAGGTTCTCAGAACCCAGGGCGAGACATCACCCTTAACCACATGGCCAGAGTCCACGTGGAGATGCCCAAATAACCGAACAGGGAAAGGCCAGGACCCCCACCTTCACCACGTTCTGGGCTTGCACTTGCTGCACATTATATCATGCGAGACTGTGGGCCACACTGCTGGCTCTCCCGTCTATCAGTCTCCCCAGGTAACATGAAAACATGAAGTGCGAGGGCACATGGAGACAGAGGAGCCGATTCACCCATAGGTCTAAACCTGGAACTGAGTGGGCCCCAGATCGCCTTGGCAGCCTGCTCTGCCAGTGAAGAGCCAGGCAGGCTTTCCTCACCCACTGCCAAGGGCAAGGCAGGCTCCTGTGCTTTAATAATGAGCTGAATCTAGCCCAGACTGTGGCAACTTCCCCACGCAGAGGACTCTGGAATTAAGGTCAAAGGCCTTGCTCAGGAAAAATCCAGGAGCTACTCCCTGCTGTCCCCGAGGGTCTGGGAAGGGTCTGGGAAGCAGGGAGAAGAATGTGTCTGCTTTATCTGGAAGCCTCCACCGTGGCCCTGAGCCTACTGCCTGATGGTGTCTGGTCCAACTCCAGACAGGGGAGAACCTGGAAGGAGGGCAGGGCCCCGAGTGCTCACCGTGCGTAGACTAGTTTGGCCACACAGTCTCTGCGGATGTCGCACTCGGCTCGGGAACAGGGCTTCCGGAACACCTGCTGCCTGCCTGCCCTGATGGTTCTGATCCGCAGTGTCTCCAGCAGTGGGTCTTCTGGAAGCTGTAGCAGCGAGGCTGACGTCCTGATAGAGCCTGAGAAGGACAAATCCCCTCCATGCAGGCGGCCCTCTTCACAAGACAATGTGATGTCATCACAGTGGAACCATGGTGCCCCACATGGACGGAATAAACCCTGGTTCAGGTGCAGGAGGCTTGCCCGAGGCAGAGGCAGGACTTGAACTCAGGCCTTCTCTGTCCCAGTCCACACTGCCCCACGTGGGACAGATCACGTCATAAACCCTCTGACTTTTTTCTCATCTGTAGAACAGGGCCGCTGCTGTCTGCCTCCCCAGAGATGGGGGTGAGCAGGAACATCATGGTTTCACCAAGGGCATCGCCTTCCACATTCCAACCTCCCCGCCCCCTGCATCCCACCCATGTTGGCCCTTTTGCAGACAGGGCGGGCCCTGCTCCCTGGCGGTGTGACCGAAGCCTGAGCCCCAGGCCCCCGCCCTGTCCTCACACTTGGCATCGCCCATCAGCTGGCAGGGCTGAGCTTCGTCCTCAGAGTCGGCAAAGCGGATGTTGCCGAGGTGCAGCAGTCCGGCCAGGACCTGAGTGGGCAAGGGGACATGGTGTGAGCTCTTTCTCCAGGGCTGGAGCCTCGCCCGGGAAGCGCCCGTCTCCTGCTCACAGAGTCCCGGTACCAGGATCATTAAGACAAGCCCCTAACTGATGCCCCCTGACTACGAGACCCTGCCAGGCACAATTCTGTTCGAGTTACATGCATCACCTTGTTTAATCTTTTCAACGATCACTAAGGAATGTGCTGTGACGATGCCCATGACAGACAGGGGTGACAAAGGGAGAAGTTCAGTCATAAGTCTACAGGGCACCTGGCTGGCTCAGTGGAGTGTGTGACTCTCAATCTCAGGGTTGTGAGTTTGAGTCGCACACCGGGTGTAGAGATTATTTAAAATAAATAAATAAAATTTTCAAATCACAAGCCTGCAGGCCACAGACTTGGTAAAAGACAAAGGCAGGATGAGAAGGCAGGCAGTCTGACTTGAGGTGCCTCCCAGGGCAGCCAGTGGGGCTCCCACGTCACCCGTCTGTCCCTGTGCCTTCCCTTCTCTAGAAGCAGACTATGAGACCACTCCTATTACCTGTGGGCCAGGCTTACTTCTGCGTGGCCAGTGGGGCTTTGGCCCTGGCTCCCTCTGGCCTTCTCTCAGCACTGGGGCTCTGACAGCTCAGCCTGGGGTAGAATCTGGGATTTTGGTCTCTGCACATTGGGCTCGATGTCCCAGGCCACACTGTACAGTGGATCCACATGGATGGGTCCCCATAGGCTACAGAGAAGAGACTCAAGTCCAGCAACTTGGAAACCCTCAGACCCTTATTGGGAGAGCAAGGCCTCTCCCACCATCCCCGTCTGGTCCCATGCCGGAGGTCTCCACATGCTACCAGTGTTCAGGCCACAACCTACCTTGGGAGAAGACTGCCATACCCAATGGGCAGAGGGTCATGATACTGCAAGGCCAGAACCCTGGGGTTGTCCACTTGCCCTGGGTTTGTCCCCATGTGCTGTCCCTCTGGCCAAGCTCTGGCCTGATGTGCCTATGCTGGCCATGATCCCCTCCCTGCCTGAGCAGCCCCCATCTAGAGGTAGAGGTCACTGTCCACTGCACTGCCACCTCCCTGCAGAGGCTTCCCTGTGGCTGCTGCCAGCCTATCCTGTATCCCCACCCCCTGCTCTGGTGGGTGTGGGGGTGATGGGGAGGGTGGCAGTCAGCTCCGTCAGCAGACACAGAAGGGAGAAGGGAGGCCACTAGTGGGATGATGGGGGCCCAGCTCACCTGGGTCAGCACTCCATCTGAGAGGAGGGAAAAGTGGGAAGTTGGAATTACTACGTCTGGTACAAACTGTCACTTAGTGATGTCCGACCCAGGGAGGTCACTTTACCTCTCTAGTTTTCTCAAGCATAAAAATGGGAAAAATCTCCACACACACAGGACTGTTGAAAAAACCAAGTGGACTAAGAAGTGTGAATGTGATTTTAAAGTCTGAATATACTAGACGAACCTGTGATAGCATTACTTCTCTATTCTGTACTCTGATCACTGCAGTAATAACTGACCTGGCCCCCCCCGCCCCCAGCCCACTGTTAGGTTTTACAGCACAGCACTGCACACTCAATCACTGTCCTTTATGCCCTGTTCTCCCCGATGCCCTGTCCGGGCTCAGCGGCTCAGAGGGTAGGTGACTCCTTAGAGACTGCACAGTGGGGCTTAAAGTCCTAGATCTTCAGAGTTCAGAGAAGGGACGTATGAAAGGGGCTTCCCATCCATCACCTCTGCCAAACACAAGAGCTGTGCCTTTTCCTCTAACCTGAAAGATGTTGTTCTGAGTGGGGGTGTCGATACCCAAATGAAGCATGGCCTCTCTGGTCACCTCGAAACAATCCTCTGAAAAGGAATCCAAGTCACAGCCCAGGGTCAGGACCAGAGGTCAGCAGGGACATCGAGGGGTGAAGAAGGCAGGCCCTGCGCGGAGGGTGAATGGGTACTGACGGGCTAGCCCAGGGTGCTGGACAAGGCTCCCCCTACCTTCCAAGGTCCTGTCCGGGTTGGGCAGCCAAGAGAAGGCTGCTCCCTCAGGGAGGTGCCACTGAAGCCTCTCGTCCGTGCCGGCTCCTTTACAGATCTGTGGGAAGGGGTGGGCAGGTGGCCGAGGTGAGGGTGTGAGGAAGCCCAGGCCTGCATAAGCCTGGGGTTGCCATGAGAGGAGAAATGCTTTGATATCACAAGGTTGAGAGGTCCCTGCACAGAGCCCAGGGCAGGCCCAGAGGCAAAAGCCTTAGCAACAGTTCTGAATGTCTCTAACCTGATGCAAGAAAAGCCTGCTGAGGGGGCCTGTGGTCTGATGAGGAAAGCACAACTCCTGTCTGGGGAGCCCCAGGTCCCATCCGAGCAGGCAGACATACTATCCAGGCTCTGGGGGACACCAAGTCTGATTTATAGGAGACACATCAGACACAGCTCTAGGGAAGCCCTCACTCTGTTGGAGACAGTTGCCATTGTAAGAGTCCTCGGTCTGATTAGGGGGACCCAGTCGCAGTCCCAAGGACCTTTTGGTCTGATAGAGAAAGCAAATGCATCTCCATGTCAAAACCATCCTGGGAGCTAAGGTCCAGCATGAGGCAGAGGAGTTGCACAAAGTCTGCAGGAGTAAGTGGCCGCCTCACCGAAAGTGTTGGGCGGGGCAGGCCTCGAGCATGGGGGCGGGGCGGAGAGGAGGGTTTGGAGGCTCAGACCCATCTCCACCCTACATCTGGGCAGCTGTGGGCCCAGCTTGACACAAACCTGGTAGAAGATGTGGAAGTTCCTCTCACTGGATGCCTGATAGGCCACTCGAGTTTTCTCCAGGAGGTACGTCTGGACTGCAGCTCCGGTCATCTGCTGGGCCCTGGACACAAGCAGGTAGCCATTTATTAAGGACTTACCATCTGCCAGAATGCAACCTAGCCCCTCCCCCCAAATCTCTTCCACTTAGTCAAAGTGGGTCTTGAGGACTAGGGACCACTCAGCAGGTCCTCAGGTGGTCTGGAACATTCCCCTGTGACCACCTCAGGTGGACAGGGCCAAGCCCTCTATATACCATTTTGTCCCATCTCAAGGCAGGAACGGAAGCCCCAGCTTCAAGCTCAGGGGTGCAGTCCAGAAAGGTGGTAGTTTAACTAGAAGCCCCAAACCAGGGTAGAAGCCAGGAGGAACTCACAGGCCGTAACAAGCACACCGCCTCAGGGTCTCTAAGGCTGGAGTAGCTAGAATTCTCCAGGTTCAAAGATCACCCCCAGGTTCATTTATTCCATGCCAGGAGGAGCAGGGTTCTGCCCATAGGAGTAGCCCAGGCTGGAAACCGCCCCAGCCACATTCGGCCTCCACATCCCCATCCTCCCATCAGCCATAGTGGCAGTGGCCATTACCTGTTCAGCTGGAGCTGGATGAACTTCCCAAAGCGACTGCTGTTGTTATTCCTCAGGGTGCACGCATTCCCTAGAGATCACACCGAGGTTTATAACACTCCCCCATGCTGACCAGGTCCTCGTGGGCCAAGGTGGGGGCACGTCTCGATCCTCAAGTCACCTAACAGCCCTTTCGTGGGTTTCCATGAAACAGGGGACAGGACTAGGGAATGGGCACTCGCGCTTTAGCAAATGTTTCCAGAGTTAGAACTTCTTGGCAATGAATTGGAATAAGCAAGTCTAGGTGGTCAGGGACTGTCTTTGAAGGGAAAGGACCAAAACCAACAAGCTGCCACTATTGAGTTAGACAACATCTAAGTACAACAGACCTATCTCCACCCCGCATCTGGGCAGCTGTGGGCCCAGCCGGACACATCTAGGCTCGAGTCCCAACATGGGACACTCACTGGTGAGCATTCTTTTTTTTTTTTATAAAGATTTTATTTATTTATTTGACAGAGAAAGACACAGCGAGAGAGGGAACACAAATGGGGAGTGGGAGAGGGAGAAGCAGACTCCCTGCCGAGCAGGGAGCCCGATGCAGGACTTGATCCAGGGACTCCAGGATCATGACCTGAGCCGAAGGCAGTCGCTTAACCAACTGAGCCACCCAGGCGCCCTCTGGTGAGCATTCTTAGACAAGTCCCTTTCTTCTCTGAACCCTCAGGAAACCATATGTAAGAACAGGATTTGAACTAGGTGAGCCATGAGGTCCTCTCCAGCACACTGTTACATCTGCCTAGGCCAGAGGATGGGGTGACTCTAATGGAAGGAGCCCAAGGGCACCTGGGAGGTTGAGGGTCCAAGGCAATGAGGCTCTCATCCTCCAACTCCCAGAGACGGGCTCAAAGCACTACCCCTCTCTCTGGGTGGTGGCAAATCCCAGTGGAAACAGAATTGAGGTACTGTGCAGAGGACACCGAGCTCACCAAAAGCTTCCATGACAGGGTTGGAGTTCAAGATTCGCTGCTCAATCCTCTCTGCAATCCTGTGGCTCTCCCAGGATGTGGGTGAGGCGGCCACCACAGCATAGAACTTCATCAGGCAGCGGGACGTCCAAGTCTGCAGCAGAAACAGCCCTGTGGGAGCTGTGTTCACATTCCCTCCCTCCATACCTCAGGATGCGGGGCCCACCAGAGTCCTCTTCTCTACCAGGCACATTGCTGACCGAATGGGGGAATGTTGAATTCAACTGTGTCCTTTACAGTGAAATGGGGGGTTGCTCCCTTCTGCTGCTCCTAGTTCCAGAGGACACCTTTAAGAAATGAAGGAAGGAGGGATAGAGAAGGGACAACCCACCTTGACCTGGGCAGGCTACTCTGTCTCTGAGGGCTCACAGCTAATACTGACTACTCTGTGGCAGGCGCTGAGCTAAAAAGGATGCTTTCTGTGCATCTTCTTACTAAACCTATTGATACACGTGCCAGGACATACCTGTTTTTAAAATGAAACTGAGGCAAATAAAGATACTTAATTTTATTGAAGATCACACATATAGTAAATGACAGAGTTCTGATTTACACCCAGGCAATCTCTTAGAAAATTCCCAACTTGTTTTTAATCAGCTGAAATGAGGCACATTTTCACTTCCAATTGTTTGTTGCTAGAACATGGAAATACGATAGATTTTTATTTATTTTGTTTTTTAAAGATTTATTTATTTATTTGATAGAGAGAGAAATAGTGAGAGAGGGAACACAAGCAGGGGGAGTGGGAGAGGGAGAAGCAGGCTTCCTGTGGAGCAGGGAGCCCGATGCGGGACTCGATCCCAGGACCCCAGGATCATGACCTGAGCTGAAGGTAGACGCTTAACGAATGAGTCACCTAGGCGCCCCAGATTTTTATTTATTTACTTTGTAACCTGTTACTTTGCTCAACTCTCTACACACCTCACTACAACTTCTTAGTTGTAGTAAATTTCTGTATATTCTTTTAGGTCTTTCTATGAGGTGGGAGTTGTTCCCTTCTATTTTCTGAAAGACTGTGTAGAACTGGTTAACATTACCTCCTTAAATACTTGATAGAATTCACAAGTAAAGCCATCTGGGCCTGGAGCTGTCTTTGTGGCCAGGTTTATTACTATGACTTCGGCATCTTTCATTGATAAAGGCCTATATATTTCTTGTGTGAGCTCCAGCAGTTTGGGTCTTCCAAAAGATTTCTCCATTTCATCTAAATTGTAGAATTTATTGGAATAAAGTTGTTCATAATAATCTCTTACCAATCTGTAGGATCTATAGTAATATCTATTCTTTAATTCTGATACTGGTAACTTGTGAATTTTTCTCTTTTTAAAGTTTGACTAGAATGTTATCAATTTTATTAATCTTTTAAAAGATATGGCCTTCCGGGGCGCCTGGGTGGCTCAGTCGTTAAGCGTCTGCCTTCGGCTCAGGTCATGATCCCAGGGTTCTGGGATCGAGTCCCATATCAGGCTCCCTCCTCGGCGGGAAGCCTGCTCTCCCTCTCCCACTCCTGCTGCTTGTGTTCCTGCTCTCGCTATCTCTGTCTCTGTCAAATAAATAAATAAATAAATCTTAAAAAAAAAAAAAAAGATATGGCCTTTGACTTCATTTATTTTGTTATTTTTGTTTCCTATTTTATTTTCACTTTATTTCCTTCTTTTTATTATTATTTAATTTAAACTCTAGTTAGGTGACAGTTCAATATTGATTTCAGGGGTAGAATTCAGTAGTTCATCATTTACATACAACATCCAGGGCTCATCGTAACAAGTGCCCTCTTTAATCCCCACCCACACACCTCCCTCCATCAACCCTCAATTTGTTCTCTACCTTCAAGAGTCTCTTATGGTTTCTCTTTTCTTCCCCCCTCCCATATGTTGTTTCTTAAATTCCATATATGAGTGAAATCACATGGTATTTGTCTTGCTCTGACTGACTCATTTTGCTTAGCATAATACACTCCAGCTCCATCCATGTCATTGCAAATGGTAAGATTTCATTCTTTTTTTTTTTATTCTTATGTTAATCCCCATACATTAGTTTTAGATGAAGTGTTCCATGATTCATTGTTTGTGCATAACACCCAGTGCTCCATGCAGAATGTGCCCTCCTCAATACCCACCACCAGGCTAACCCATCCTCCCACCCCCCTCCCCTCTAGAACCCTGTTTGTTTTTCAGAGTCCATTGTCTCTCATGGTTCATCTACCCCTCCGATTTCCCCTGCTTCATTCTTCCCCTCCCGCTACCTTCTTCTTTTTTTTTCTTAACATATATTGCATTATTTGTTTCAGAGGTACAGATCTGAGATTCAACAGTCTTGCACAATTCACAGCGCTTACCAGAGCACATACCCTCCCCAGTGTCTATCACGCAGTCACCCCATCCCTCCCACCCCACCCCCCACTCCAGCAACCCTGTTTGTTTCCTGCAAGATTTCATTCTTTTTGATAGCTGAATTTTCCATCTTTTTTTTTAATTTAAATTTTAGGTAGTTAACATACAGTGCAATATTGGTTTCTTTTATTTCCTTCTTCCTTATTTTGGGTTTATTCTTTTTTCTCCTAGCTGCTTAAGGTGGAAGTTCAGATCACTAATTTGAGTTCTTTATTCTTTTCTAATTAAGTATTTAATGCTACAAATTTCCCTCTAAGCACTGTTATTTTTTTAAAGATTTTACTTTATTTATTTTTAAAGATTTTTATTTATTTATTTGAGAGAGAGAGAGAGCATGAGAGGGGAGAGGGTCAGAGGGAGAAGCAGACTCCCCACTGAGCAGGGAGCCCGATGTGGGACTCGATCCCGGAACTCCGGGATCATGACCTGAGCCGAAGGCAGTCGCTTAACCAACTGAGCCACCCAGACGCACAGCACTGCTATTTTTTTAAAGCAGATTTTGATATGTCCTGTTTTCCTTTTCATTCAGTTCACAGTATTTTTCTAATATTCTTTGTGGTTTTATCTTTGCCCATAAGATATTTAGAAGGGTGTTAATTTCCAAATGCTTTGGGTATTTTCCAAGTATCTTTGTTACTTATTTTTAGTTCAATTCTACTCAGGACAGAGAACACAGTTTGCATGATTTTAATCTTTTCAAATTGAGATTTGTTTTAATGGCTCAGAATGTGGTCTGTTGGTGAGTGTATCATGTGTACTTGAAAAGAATGTTCAGGGGTGCCTGGGTGGCTCAGTCATTAAGTGTCTGCCTTCAGCTCAGGTCATGATCCCGGAGTCCTGGGATCAAGCCCTGCATTGGGCTCCCTGCTTGGCGGGAAGCCTGCTTCTCCCTCTCCCACTCCCCCTGCTTGTGTTCCCTCTCTCGCTGTGTCTCTCTCTCTCAAAAAAATAGAATCTTAAAAAAAAAAAGCTCAAATCTCAAACTATAATTTTGATTTTATCAAATTCTTTCAACTCTATCCACCTTTGCTTCATGTATTTTGAAACTGTACACATTTAGTATTATCTTCTCTTTTTTAAATTTTAATGTTTTTAGGAATCTCTACACCCAATGTGGGGCTTGACCTCAACCCCAAGATCAACAGTCACATGATCTTTCTAACTGACCCAGGCAGCTGCCCCTAAAATGTTCTTTGTTCTGTATAACTGCTTCAGATTTCCTTTGATTAATGTTGGAATGATGTATCTTTTTCTGTTTTTTTTACCACGAACCTACCTGTATAATTATAGTGGGTTTTTTGAAGACCTATAACTTGAGTCTTGCCTTAAAAAAAAAAAAAAGAAATCCAATCTGATGTTGTCTTTTATTTTTTTAAAGATTTTATTTATTTATTTGAGAGAGAGAGAGAGAGAAACAGCACAAGAGGGGAGAGGGTCAGAGGGTGAGACTCGATCCCGGGACTCCAGGATCATGACCTGAGCTGAAGGCAGTCGCTTAACCAACTGAGCCACCCAGGCGCCCTGATGTTGTCTTTTAATTGGAGTGTTTAGTCAATATTCATTTAATGTAATAATCACTATGGCTAGGTTGAAATCTACCATCTTATTATTTCTTTGTGATTTGTTTCACATGATCTTTGTTACTTTTTTCTTCCTTTACGGTTGAATTTAGTACTTTTATGATTCCACTGTATCTCCACAGTAAATTGTTACTATCTTTGCCTTAGAGTGAATTATTTTTGAGGTTTTTTTTGTTTTGTTTTGTTTTTTAAGATAGGGGGAGAGAGTTGGGGGGGAGGTGCAGAGAGAATCTTAAGCAGGCTCCATGCGCAGTATGGAGTCTGACATGGGGCTCAATCTCACAACCTTGAGATCATGACCTGAGCCAAAAACCAAGAGTCAGTTGCCTAACCAGCTGAGCCATCCAGGACCCCCTAGAGAGAATTATCTTGTAGAGATAAAAAATAAGATATCACATCCCCAATGTTCTTTACTCCTTTGTATCAATCCAAATATTCACCTGCTTTCATAGTCCTTTGGCCTAAAGAACTTCCTTTAATGTTTCTTGTATACAGGTCTGCTGGCAATGAATTCCTTTAACTTTTGTTTGAAAGTCTTATTTCACTTCCATGGTTAAAAAAATTTTTAGGGGTTGCTCAGTTGGTTAAGCAGTTGCTTTTGGTTCGGGTCATGATCCCAGGGTCCTGGGATCGAGCCCCGCATCGGGCTCCCTGCTCAGTGGGGAGCCTGCTTCTCCTTCTCCCTCTGCCTGCCTCTCGGCCTACTTGTGCTCTATCTCTCTGTCAAATAAATAAATAAAATATTAAAAAAAAATGAAAGAAGCAAAGAATTAAAAAAAAAAAATTTTTTTAAAAGTAATCTCCACACCCAAAGTGGGGCTTGAACTCATAACCCTGAGATCAAGATTGTATGCTCCACTGACTAGCCAGCTGGGCATCCTGTGTTCTCATTTTTTTTAGATATTTTGATATTTTTGCTGGTAATAGAATTCTAGGTTGGCAGATATTTTTTTCTTAAAAAAACAAAAAAACAAAAACAACTTTCCTTTTTATTAAGTAATATCTACACCCAATGTGGGGCTTAAACTCACAACCCTGAGATCAAGAGTTGCATGCTCTACCAACTGAGCCAGCCAGGTGCCCCAAAAGATATTTTCTTTCAGCATTTTTTTTTTCTTTTTTTCTTTCAGCTCTTTAAAGATGTTGCTATTTTTGAAATGAAATGAAATGAAAAAATATCAACTATTTGATAAACCTCTCTTACATGAATGACAAATATCACAACAAATGAAGGAAAAGGAACCAGAAGGAAACAGAGTCAATGCACGGAGAAGACAAAAATCATGAAGTATCCTCAAAAAGGATACTTTGGACTTGCAGTTCTTGTTTGTGTTTGTTTTTGTTTTAGAGATTTATTTATTTTCTGGGGTGCCTGGGTGGCTCAGTCCTTAAGCGTCTGCCTTTGGCTCAGGTCATGATCCCAGGGTCCTGGGATTGAGCCCCATATTGGGCTCCCTGCTCAGCGGGAAGCCTGCTTCTCCCTCTCCCACTCCCCCTACTTGTGTTCCCTCTCTCGCTGTGTCTCTGTCAAATAAATAAATAAAATCTTTTTTTTTTTTTTTAAAGATTTTATTTATTTGAGAGAGAGAGAATGAGAGACAGAGAGCACAAGAGGGAAGAGGGTCAGAGGGAGAAGCAGACCCCCTGCTGAGCAGGGAGCCCGATGCGGGACTCGATCCCGGGACTCCAGGATCATGACCTGAGCCGAAGGCAGTCGCTTAACCAACTGAGCCACCCAGGCGCCCCTAAATAAATAAAATCTTAAAAAAAGAAAAAAAGATTTATTTATTTTTTGAGAGCAAGCGAGCAAAAGAGAGCTAGAGAGAAAGAGCAAGCATGAGCAGGAGGGGCAGAGGGAGGGAGAGAGAACCTGAAGCAGAATCTGTGCTGAGTGCAGAGCCCGACGCAGGGCTAAATCCCATGACCCTGACATCATTACCTGTACTGAAACCAAGAGTCAGACACTCAACTGACTGCGCTACCCAGGCATTCCTGGGCTTGCCGTTTTTGAAAGATGCCCGTTGTCACTCTTATCTTTGTTCCTCTTTTTGTAATATTTGTTTTTCTGGTTCCCATAAGAGTTTTCTCCTTTTGGTCTTCAGCAATTTGACTATAATGTGAAGTATATTTTCTTTGTATTCATCTGCTTATTGTTTTCTGAACTTCTTGGATCTGTTCCTGCCATCTTTTGTTCATTGTATAAGATATCACCTCTGACCCATGTGTTCTCTTTCTCCTGGCACACCAAGAACAACTATGGTAGGACCACAGGATACTGTACCATAGCTCTCAGATGTGCTTCTTTCTTTGTTTCTCAATTTGAATTATTTCTATTGATTTACTGTCAAATTCATTAATGTACTCATCTGCACATCTGGTCTGTTGATAAGCATGAAGGAATTATTCATTATATTTTTAATTTTTATCATTTTCATTTAACTCTTTATAGTTTCCATATCTCTACTAAGGAATCTTTTCTAGAGACACTGACAAGCTCATGAGAAAAGTTATGGACATTCAGGGTCCCACAAGTTTAAAAAGTTACCTACAGTGAGGCTCCCTGGTTGACAATCCTATCCATAAAGATTCTAATCAGTTGCTGAATGAGGCATTTAATAATAATGCCTTATTCTTAAATATGAACAGAAACTTACTGATCATCAACTATTTGATAAACCTCTTTTACATGAATGACAAATATCACAACAAATGAAGGAAAAGGAACCAGAAGGAAACAGAGTCAATGCAAGGAGAAGACAAAAATCATGAAGTATCCTCAAAAATAAGATACTGAATCTATGAAATAAGACCAGGATGGTGGGGGCTGCGGGGAATAATATTCAGAGAACAAGCGAGAACTCTTAGAATTAACCCTTTTTCAACAAAAAATTCAAAATTCAAAATATTGGAAGGTAGAGAATATCTCCCAGAAGGTAGAACAAAATACTAAGAGATGGAAAAATAAGTGAGAAAAATAAGAATATTAGACAATTAATCAAACTTCCTTCTAATAGGAGTTCCAAAAAGAGAGAACAGAAGGAAGGAAATTATTAAATTATTAGCTATAATACAAATTTCCCCAAATAAAGAACATGAGTTTTCAGGATAAAAAGAGCCACACAAAATATCCAGCACAGCAAACGAAACAAAACAAAACAACCATACCAAGACATAGCACTTGTGTTTTAATACCTACAGATAAAAATGAAGACTATAAAAGCTTCTGGAAAGAAAAACAAATCGCCATTATGGACTGGGACTATCACAACACTCAAAAAATATAGAAGAAAAAAACCTTATAAATTTGGAAAGAAAATGGTCTCTAACCAGGAATTATAAAATCCAGCACGAGGTGCAACAACTCAAAAATCTGCCCTGCATGTAACTTTTCTAGGAAGCTACTGAAGAATGTACTCCATAAAAACAAGGCCCTTAAGAAGTTGAAGCCATGGGCTCCAGCAACGGGTTAGGGGTGGGGGCGTTGTCATAGGACAGAGGGCAACTTGGGGGATCCCCAGAGTGAGGCAGAGAAGCTCCCAGGTAATAACTGTGTGGCAACACCCCTTGGCAGCCACCAGTCCAGGTGGGAGCCAGAGATCTGGGCGCTGTGGGAAGAATATCACCAAGAAAAAAAAAAGGACTTGATGTACTTGCTGGTGGATAGGTGTTATCCAGCTTTGGTGATAGGTTTAGTAATAACTTAATAGGTATATAGAAACTAAACAAATGAAAAAACAGCAATTATTAAGTAGAGGGAAAGTAAAAATTATACAAGAAAGGATATTATACTGCTTTGCTGTGAACAATATACACATGGCTGTAATACTGCCTATTAATTAGAAATCGTGATATGATTATGTATGTATTGGGGGGCAGAGAAAATAGGGCTAAAATCCTCATCAGAGTAAGAAATGAACGGATTAGGTAAAAAACTGAAAAATTAGTAACAATATAATGATGTTATTTAGAAATACAAATGCAAACACCCAAATAAACTGCTAAAAGATGTGAAAGTAGCTGCCTCTGGAGAGAGAAATAGTCTTGATAGATATGGGGTACGGCTGCTGTTTTTCTTTGTAAGCCTTGCAGTATTGCTTGATTTTTGAACTGTGTAATTATGCTACTACTTATTAAACAACCACACAGACCCAGCAAAAGACCATAGCGGCTGCTCAATGAAGGGTTACTGAGTTCCAGCGGCATGGGTTTCAGGCCAGGTCCAGCCTCAGCTCCCCAGAGCAATTCTGGAGGACAGTGGGCTTCCTCTGGGGGCTGGGTATGAGCCACTGCACTGGCCAGTTTGAAAGAGCTCTTGAAGATCCTCTCCACACCCAAGTCCCAGCTGTCATCCCTGCAGCTGTCTTTCCTAGTGGACTAAGAGCCCCCTGAAAGCCGTATGTTGCATTTTTCAGCTCTGTTCCTCCCCCTGCTACTCTTCAGGGGCTAGCCCATGGCCTAGAAGCTGGCAGGTACTTAGCGCTCGGCCATTCTCTCCTATGTAAGTACAGGCAGAGGCAGTTTCTGGTCTAAAAATCCCTTGTGAAGGTACAAGCATTGTGGAAAAAGTGGGGTGGCGGGGTGAGCCTTGGCAAGAAGGTGGCGAGGCCTGGCCCGGTGGCCTCCTCTGACCAGCTGTGCAACTCCTTGACTATCCTTGTGCAACATTCTGTCTCACCTGTGGTGGTTCTGGCACCTAGGGGGCCACATGACCGCATCAAGTGCTTCTGTCCTTCCCCATAGCCAGCCCAGTGCACCGTGGTTGCCAGCATGGGCAACCCTGAGGGTACAGGTGGGCTACTCCAGTAACCCCTTCCTACGAGTCACCCCAGCTACTTTTAGGAGTGCTGCTATGTGCCAAGCATACCAAGTGCCTATGTGCACTGGTCCATTTAACTCTCGTAGGAGTCTCAGGACTTACATGCTGGTCCTCCTGTCCCTGTCGTGTTACAAATGGAAGAACTGAGGTTTGCAGAACCTAAATACCTTTCCGATGTGCTCTTAACCGTATTCTGGAATCCCCAATACCTAACTTTTGTTTCCAGTGGTGTTAGAGCTAAGACCTTTGAGGAGAAAATGAAGGCTGAGAGAAAAAGTATCCACCCAAGGTTACATGGAAGAGCCTGGACTAGAACCCCATCTCTTGACTTCTTGCCGAGTGCTTGCTCACCACTGCACACTGACTCCCTGCTTGAGCCAGCCTATCTGAGAATGATTAGGCAGCAAAAGAACTCCACAAGGAATGACCTCCTCCCTCTCTGCCCACCCTACCAGTCACGAAAGAGGCCCTCCTACCTTTCCAGCACCACTCTCTCCGCTGACAATAATAGACTGGTTGACGGGCTCAATCAGGCTCTTGACATTCCTGTAGGTCTGTTCACCCACAGTGAAGATGTGGGGCTTCAGTTTCTAAAACATCAAGGGGTGAAAGGTCACATGAGGGAATGCCTGTCTCCAAGGAGTGGTTGATCCAATGATGGCTGAGATAGGGAGGCTTCCTCTAGAAAAATCTCCTGGATGTAACAGTGTTAGACCCAACTGCGGGACCCCTGTGGTGCCTATATCCGCTCATCTTTTAGTATGGAAGCAGTGCTGGCCTTGACCAGTCTATGACCTTAACACTTTATCCTCCCATTTTATTTTACCTTAATAGTCTTATTCTGCTTATTATTTTACATTACTATACTTTGCAGCATGCAAAGAACTTTCCTACAAGTTACTGCCTAAAAAATCTATTCATTAGTTGGATAGCTAATCCTATTTTATGGACGAGAAATCTGAGGTTTGGAGGGGTTAAATAACCTTCCCAAGGCCACTCAGCAAGTAAAGGCAACTATGTGATTTGAATTCCTAGGCCACTATTCTTCTTTTCACCCACAAATATTAATTATCCTCAATGTGCTGGGCATTAAACTGGGCACTGGGGAAACAGGAAACCATGACATGGCTTTTGCCTTTGAAGAGGCTGTCAGTGAGATATGGGCTCTCAGGGAAGACTTGGACACTTAACCATGCATGAGCTTCCGAGGGCCAGGCCATCTGCACAATGCCTGGCCGGCCCGCACTGCCCGTCCAGCAATCACCCCCTACCCAGCTTCCTGGAGAGAAGGTACTGTTGTGGATAATGTCAGAGCCATCCCTCTCTGCACCTGCACCTGCCTCTGCCCCAGCCCCTTCTTCCCTGAACTGTTAAAAACCTCCAACTGTTCTCCCTGTATCTTGTTTCACCTTCCTGAACTTGACTCCCCCAACTTCCCGAGTAATTATCCCCATGGTGGGCTCCAGTCAGTCCCTCCAGCCCTGGGGAAGCAGCACTGTGCATACATTCTGCCTGCTGTGGTGCCTCAGACCCTTCGCCAGCAGCCCTGGCTTATCTCATCTATTGTCTCTCTCCCTGACAGCACCCTTCTTTTTTTTTTTTTTTTAAAGATTTTATTTATTTATTTATTTGAGACAGCCAGAGAGGGAACACAAGCAGGGGGAGTGGGAGAGGGAGAAGCAGGTTTCCCGTCGAGCAGGGAGCCTGATGCGGGGCTCGATCCCAGGACCCTGGGATCATGACCTGAGGCGAAGGCAGACGCTTAACGACTGAGCCACTCAGGCGCCCCTGACAGCACCCTTCTTGCCAGCAAGTTGGCTCTTGCCTCTCTCTGAAGACATCATGCACTTAAACACCAGCTAGCCTATTCCCTGCCTGCACCACCTCCAACCCCATCAGAATTTATTCCTCTCATTCCTCCCACTGAGAGGAACAAATGCTGAATTTCCTAGGGCACTCCTTATTATACATGATTTTATTCTTTCCCCCAAAAATGGTTCATTAAATACACAAATATACCTTTGTAAATCCTTCCCTCTTAATAAAGTCACAAACAAGAAAAAAGTCCATTATGCTATGTCCTTATTCTAGGTTCCAAACTCCGTTAAACATTTATCTCTCACTTGGCACCTACTGTCACGTGTCCAAAAGTCTTCGACCACCTGGTGGGCAGGGCTGTGGCACCAGCAGATTCTGGATGACTGCATGGCTGGTGAATAGATGGATAATGACAGGGAAGCTGCAAGGAGGCCCAGGGGGATATGGCGGAGCCCTGAGGCCCAGGAAGTGGCTGAGCCTTACCCGGGGCTGAGGCGCAGCGTGGTATTCTCTCATCAGTGCTGGTGAGTAGAGCTGAGGGACGGCCTTGAAGGGGTTCAGAGCGACCAGGGTGCAGCCAGCATTGGTGTAGAACGTGTCTGCTGCGTACCGAGCCTGCAAACACCTCAGGACTGAGGCAGAGGCACCTTTAGCAAACTCTGGCTCAAATACAGACCCAACTGCCCACACAGACAAACACTGGCCTAACAGTGTTACCTTTGCAATTAGCCAAGTGCCGTTAGATCCCAGCAGCTCCCTGATGGATAGGTACAAGATCTAATTAAGATGAGCCCCAAATCTGGAGCAAAGTCTGCCCTGGGGAGCCCGGGCGCAGCTGCCAGGCGGACGTCTGGAGCAGCCCACTGGCTCGAGGTCAGGAGTCCTGCCTGCCTCGGTCTGGCCAGGGGAAGCTGTGCAAACTACCCACATCACACCCCTACCCTCTTGGAGACAGCCCTTTTTTAAAAGATTTTATTTGTAAGTAATCTCTACACCCAACGTGAGGCTCAAACCCACAGCCCCGAGATCAAGAGTTGCACACTCCACCAACGGAGCCAGCCAGCACCAAGGGGTGCCTCTTGAGGACAGGGAGGCCCATACCTGTCTCCGGTGTCACGGGATTCACCTTGGTGAGGTCATCCAGCTGGTGCAGCGGGGCTTCCCCGCTCAGGAACTCCCGCAGGTCTTCTCTGAGGGATTCCCCTCCTTGGGCACCAGAGCCTGAACTGTGGCCATGAACCTGAGAGGCCACGAGAAGACGGCCATGAAAGCTGGGACTGAGGCCAGCTGGCAGCAAGGTAGGGGTGGGGGCCTGAGTAGCAGGAGGAGAAGAGGCCTCTAGTATCATAGTCTGCTTGGATTCAAACTTCAGTTCTGCCACTTACTAAGCCTGTGAACCTGGGTAAGTTACTTACTTCTCTGAGTCACAGCTTCTTTATTTGTAAATAAAGGAAAATAAAACCAGTTCGCAGGGCTACTGGACAGAAAAATAAGAGATACACAAAGCACTTGGTGCCTGGCACACAGTGTGTACTCAATAAATGAACAAATGCTATCCCCTCTCCTCTGAACAAGCTCCAGCTTCCAGGCTGGCCCAGCTAGGGGTGGGGCCCAAGGTGGGGGGCTGCTACAGGGGATAACCCTCCCCCCAAAAGAACCATGGCTTGGGCTTTTGAAAGAGAAAGAGACCATTTAGCTTGTGATGAAAAACCAGCTGTGAGGTAGCCCCATGCCTTCATCACTTGGCTCTCGGGGCTTAAATTTAGTTAGTTTCCTCTGCCCTGGGTCTACTTGAGAGGGAGCCTGGCTTGGAAGTTGGATGAGGTTAAGAATAGGCACAAAGGGGAAAAGGCTGTTTCTCTTTCGCCCTCGCCGATCCTTGATGCCAACACTTTCCACGTGTTTCCTCTTTCCCAATTCCTCCCATGGTCTCATTTTTCCTCTGATCTCTCTGGAGACTGCAGGGAAGATGGGGTGGGGAGTAGGAAAAGACAGTAAGTAGTACCTGGCTGAAATCTGCTTTTGGAGAAAGGAGTCTGTAATAGGACTGTGTAGGCTTCCAATGAGATTAGTGAACCCTAAAAGTTCAAACCCCTCAAGCCAAGGTGTCAAGTGTCATCTGAGAGGCCCAGCAACAAGTTTCTTTCCAAAGATGTTGCCTGTTCTCTGAATTTGGGCCCACCATAATCCACAAGGCAGGCTCTTGGCCTCCAGGATAAAGGCTGAGGTCAGAGCATGGCTGGATCCATGCAAATCCCTTTGCTCTGGGCGGGGGGAATCACAAGCCGAGCCATAATTTATGATGAGCTCTGATCCAACCAGAGAAGTAGCTAAGTATAATGGTCAAGAGCCTAGACCTTAAAGCTAGATTCCCTGGATTTGAATCCTGATTCTACCACCTACTAGTTGTACAATGTTATGTAAATGTCTTAATCTCTCTGTGCTTCAATTTTCCTATCTCTAAAATGGGAATGCTGGTAGCACCTAGGTCAGACACTAATAAGCACATCAAGTATTTAGAGAAGGCACCTGCATATGCACCCAAAATTAGCTATTATTATTCTTTTAAAAACAGCTCTTCTTTAATTATGCAGTGATATATCAAGGCCTAAAAAGCACACATGCCTCTTTAGCCTGCAATTCTTTTAGAAAACGATCCTATGTAAAGGCCATAAGAATATTCAGTATATTTTGAGCTACTTATAATCGTAAAAAAGTTGAAAACAACCCACATGTCCTAATGGTGGACAATTTACAGTATATCCTTACAATGGAATAAAGCAGGTTACAAAAACTATGCAGCTTCAAATATTTTAAAAATACATATTTAGAGGAAAAATAAAGGATATTTTCTAAAATGTTATCTCTGGTTAGTGTAATTATGGGTAATTTTAATGTTCCTTTTGCTTATATTTTCCACATTGCTTACAGTGAATGTGACCTTGAATAAGCCACATAACCTCTCTGAGCTTTATCTCCAAAACGGGGATAGAGTAGCACCGTACATATAACACTGTAACTTGCTTGAGGACTAAACAAAATTATTCATGTAAAATGCTTAGAACAGTAGCTACTACTTAGGTAGGGCTCAATACAGAGCAGCTGCTAGTATGGTTATGATGAACATTACTGCTTTTTTAATTAAAAATGAATAATTAATAAATAAATAAATAAATAAAAAGTTAAACAAACAAAGCCCAGAGCAGACAATTGTCCTGCCAGCTTCTCTCCAGTCTCAAGCTCATTTCATAAGACAAAAGTCTGGAAGATGATCAAGCAGTAGTGTCTACCAGGGCTCCCTTGAGGCTGGCTGGCTTTCCTCTTGGTCATCCTGATAAGTCTCAGGCACCTACCTGCCTAGGACTCCACTAGACTGTGAGCTCCTGGAGAGCAGGTATCATCTTAAACATCTGCCGCAGCCTGGTGCCTGGCCACATTTTGTAAATAAAAATTCAGCAAATATCTACCTACTGGCATTCTCTTTGGACCGAGAGCTGCACGAGAAGGATGATATGGACAGGAGATGGGTGATTTGGAATCCTGAAGGCCTGGGGCCATAGTAGCCTTTTTAGAGAGGCAGAGGCCTGGAGTAAGGGCAGGTTTCATGCTGCAGTAGCAATTCCCCCACCACACGCTTCCTGATCCATTCATCAGACTCCTTTATTTCCACATAGGCATCTTCACCCACTGACCCCTCTGCTTGGACTGCTTAATTCCCTTCTCCACCTGGCTAATTCCTACATATTCTTTAAGGTTCAGCTTCAAAGAATACCTCCTCTTGGAAGGCTCAGGCTTCCACTGTACCTCAGCAGTTCAGGCTGGCAGGGACATCTCTCAGGACTCCCTCACCGGTTCAGGCTTGTGAAGTCACCAAAGTGCCCTAAGGATTCCCCTCCCCATCCCATCTTACTCATCCCAGGAAAAAGAGCTAAAGACCACAACAGGAGAGATTCAAATTAGGTATCAGGAAAAGCTTCTCAATGATAGGTGAAAGGCACTGGAGTGACTACATGAAGAGAGAAAAGGTCTTTCTTCTTTCTTCCTTCCAGGTCAGGGTAAGTGGAATCTTTATTCAGCTAAGTGACAGATGGGAAAGTGCCTTAGATGCTTCAGGGCCTAGGTTACCTAAGGGTGAGGTTTTACCTGATGGAGCATCTTGCTTCAGTGTGTCAGCCAGGGTTCTGGGTCACAGGCACAAAGAGTGCTATCCACCTGGTCATGGGGACACAAGTGGGAACATAGGTCCAGTAAAAGGCTCAGTTCTGGAGGAATCTGAGATGAATCACCTCAGAGCCTACGACATGACAGAGAAGACAAGGGCCAAACACAGGTGAGGGCTTCTTCAGGGTGACTCACTCCAGCTCCTCCTGCCAAGCAAGAAGAATCAAAATAAGAATCAGGGCGAGCCTGGGCAAAGAGGGAAAGTCTGTCCTATCCCCTGCCAATTAGGAAACGGGAAACTTTTATGAGAGCCTCCAGAGGCTCCCCGGGCTCTTCAGGGGCAGTTTTACTACAGAGGTTTGGGGTGGGGCTGCATATGTTCTGAGTCAGTGTGCTGTGGAGAATGGAGACACTGGGAGACAGAGAAGTCTCATGCCCTACCCTCTCCACTGGACAGAAATAGCCTATTTTTGTATAGCCAGTAATTGATAGACCAGGGAGGCTAGAGTCAATTCTTGATGCTCTAGGAAAGTTGTTGTGTGGGAGCAAAATTACAGCTCACTCACAGGAAAGCCGTATCACCTTCCTGGCCCACCTTGATCCTTTATCTTGAACATGGGGGTAGTAAAATCTACCTCACAAGGAGTGGTTGTGAAGGTCAATGATGTCATGGAGTACAAATCTAAATATTCAGCCATAGGGGGAATATTGTTATTAATAGAAGGGCTACCGAGGATGGATAATCCATTTGGCGACACTAATCAGGTAGAACAGCCCAGTGTCAACTTTAAAAAGGCAAGCATTTCAGAGGAGGAAAATCTGAGAGGGGGGTGTTGTGAGGCTATACCTAGACCAATCTCTGAAAAACTGTAAGTGACCCTAAGACTCAAAATATCCCAGGCCTCACACCTTCCTAGCAAGGAGGGATGAGGATGAGGGGTGTCTGTAATGGATGGACCCTGGCGGAGACTTGTTTGAGGCTCTGAATACACCTAGCATGTGAAAGAATTCAGGGATAGGGACTTCATGCAAACTGAAAAAAGGACAGAGAAGAGCATCAGGAATGTGTTGGGTACATTCACCTTGGACACTGATCATATGCTGCCAAGGGACAGCCATGGAGAGGGCAACCCCAGAGTCAAGGAAAACAAAGCTCCCTCACCTGGAAGCTCATTTTAAGAGAATCAGGGGAGCATAATAGGTTGTGGAGTTAGAAATCAAAGCCCACAACTCCTCCAAGGCAGATCACAAGAGCTCTCTAAGCCTTATTCCATTTACTCGTTTGCAAAAAGGAATACTAATACTTACACCTCAAAACACTGAGTTAAGGATCAAATGGGCTAGTACCTCAGAGAACGCCTTGCAAATGTTGGTTATTATGATGCAGCGTCCGTTCCCAGCCAAAGTCAAGTCAGATTAGAGCGGTTTTCTCCAGTTCTCCCAGCTCTTGCTCTCCCCCAGCTTCGCGGTTACCAGCCAAGACTTTCTGGAAAGGGTGTGACCACTGTGGGCAGAAGGGAGATGGTAATGAACAGATATAACACCAAGTCAAGGCAAGAGGCAACCTGATCACTAGCTCCTCCGCCTCCTCCCCAGCCTCAGGTTCGTCGTCCGCTTGGAGGACAGTGGGAGCGCAGGCGAGAAGAGCTGGGTAAGGGTCCTGGGAACCCACCTGGATCCGCCCCCAGCTTCCCTGCGGGAACAAGGACTCCCTCTCTGGACGAAGTGCCCGCAGGGACGAGGGCTGGGACGCCGCTCCGGAAGCACCTGGCACGGGGAGAGTATGCCCTTCCCTGGAAGGTGGATGTGACCCCAGCCAAGGGCGCGGCTGCCCTGACGCTTACCCGGGCCAGCTGCCCCTTCCCCGGTCCTTAGGATTGCGAAAAGAAGGGCAGGAGACGGGACTCAGCCTCCCAGCTGAAACCCTTCCCCAACCCCGGGCCGCCTCCTGCCAGCAAGGTGGAGAGGTGGAGGGGGGACCATGAAAGGCTCTTGTTCTAGGCAAGGGCCAAGAGCTGGGCTACCCCCTGCTGAGATACGAGACGGTCAAAAAGGAAATGGGAAAGGGTAGGCAAACGGCGCTCTGGAAAAAGGAGAGGAAGACGCCCTCCGTTCCTCTGCGCTCCAGGGGCAAACCGGCCTCCCTGCCCTTTCGGGGTCGCGAAGCGCTTCGGACCTGGGCTGGGGGTGACACTCACCGGTTCCACGGCCTGAGCCGCCGAGCGCGCGGCCCCCGCCAGGCCCGACTGGAAAGGCAGGCGGGCGGGCTGGGAGAGACGGCGGGAAGAGCCCGGGAGGGGAGGGAAGAGGAGAGGGCGGGAGCGAGCCGGGGAGGAGAGGAAGCCGGGACCGCCAGAGCGCACGGGCCGCCCGCCGCTCTGGCCCAGTGGCCGGGAGCCAGCCGGCTCCTCCCCCGGGGCGGGGCGCGCACTGGGAGCGGGGCGCACGTGGCCCGCTCTGGACGCCTGGGTCGAAGTTAGGGGCTCCAGCTAGGACAAAGTATTTTGAGAACCTGGGGTAAGATGGGGTTGAGACGCCGGCCTCCCGTATTCCGGCAGGAGACGCGCGGGAGGCAGGGCCTCCAGGGCCTCACAGGGCCTGGGGTCCTTCAGTAGAGGACGCCGTGGTCGAACACTGAGCCGGGCCCTCTGACCCCACCACTCTGAGAGACTCGTCGTGGGGTTCGAGGGGTGGCGGTGAAGCGCGTGACGCGTCTGCTCCGGGCTCCACCGACGGACCGAGGCAAGAGGGAAACAACTAGCGCGGGGAGCCTACGCGGCTGGGAAACGGCCTCCGGTCCTGGGCGGGGCGCGCGCGCGCGCGCGGAATCAGCCGGCCCGGAAGCGCAGGCCGCCCGACGTCGGCCGGAAGCGCGGCTCGGGAGGCGGAAGCGGGTTGCTCCCGCATGGCTCTGCGGTTGCGTTGCGAGTCGTGCAGCAGGGACCATGTAGACGGCCGGCTGCGGGGGCGCCGGGACACCGAAGGCACGTGAGGTGTAAGGGCCGGCGCCGCCGTGGCGCGTGTCAGTCAGGAAAAGGACTCCTTTATTTCTAAAAGCCAGTCGATTCAGATCGGTTTGTCATCGAGAGGAATTGTTGCTGGCTCAGGCCGTCAGGCATGCGTGCATTCATTTGTTCTACATGGTTCTGGTTTGGCCAACAAACGTGTTCTTTCTGTGTGCCACTTTAAAGACATTGAAATATGAGAGAGGTGTTTTACATCCCTTTGAAACCACGAACACTAGTGTGTGCCATACGCCCAGGCCTCCCCCGCCCCGCCCCCTTCCCCAGGATTAGCATCCATTCTACCCATCTACACTTAACCTGAAAGCATGGCTGTGACTGAGGTAAGGAGCAGCCTGGGGCTTAGGATGTCACTGGAGGTTAGTATTTTGTCTTGGAGGCAATGGGTTCAGAGAGGCTCTTCACACAAACCAAGGTCTCCAACTCCAAGGTGTACTTAAATACCTTCTCCCTATCCTCTGATTTGACTTGAAGTCATTAGTTAAGTGTGTTCAGTTTGCATTACAAAATTTTAATAACCTATCCTAATGCTTTGTAATAGGAATTCCTATCTGTGATTCCATTTTCAGGGTTTATATGCCAAATTAATTTTCTTTGTGAGTCTGCCTTATACAGAGAATAGCTTTTTAACCAATGATTTCATACTATTAGCATGACATTCTTATCCTTTTTTAAGATTTTATTTACCTGAGAGAGAGTGAGCTCGAGAGAACACAAAGGGGGAGGGAGAAGCAGACTCCCCACCGAGCAGAGAGCCTGAGGCAGCACTGGATCCCAGGACACTGGGATCACGACCTGAGCCAAAGGCAGATGGTTACCCGACTGAGCCATCCAGGGGCCCCTCCTTTTTTTTTTTTTTAGATTTGAGAGAGTGAGAGCACTAGCGGGAGAGAGAATTTCAAGCAGACACTGTGCTGGGCGCAGAGCCGGTGGGGGGCGCTCAATCTCAGGATCCTGAGATCAGGACCTGAATGAAACCAAGAGTGGGATGCTTAACCCAGTGCGCTACCCAGGTGCCCTGACATTCTTATCCTGATGTGTTAGCTTTCTTCCCACAATCCTTGGGGGAGGAATCACAAATTCTATTTTCTGCCCTGATTTGAAATCATTAGGTCTTAAGTTCTGCTCTGAAATCTAGGAATATGAGTAAAATCGGGGGCACTGGGTGGGGCAGTCGGTTAAGCGTTAGACTCTTGGTTTCAGCTCAGGTCATGATCTCAGGGTCTTGAAATCAAGCCTCACGTCAGGCTCTGAGCTCAGTGAAGAGTCTGCTAAAGTTTCTCTCTCCCTCTGCTCCACCCCACGCACACATGCTCTAATAAATCTTAAAAAAAAGTAAAATTAAGTCATATATATGCCTATTCCACAAGAACATTGCTTTTCCAATGTATCCCTTTGCTCTTATCACAGGAAGAAGAAAAAATGTCTCAAAAGCAGATGAAGGAAGCTTTTGTCAGTAACCACAATGGAACCAGTGTGCTGGAAGTCACCCAGGGCCTGTGCTTACCTGCATTCTGTATCCTGTGCAGAGGGCTTCTGATCATTCTCTCACAGCACTTGTGTTCTTCACATACCTGGAAAACTAGATTCTTCATTGACTTTGTTTTCCTGATAGTTCCCCTGGTGGCCACTTTGACCATTTTGTCTTCATTTGTCCTCCTTGAGCACCTTGCTGTAATTATCCTTGGGGCAGGGCTATTCTATCAAATATACTGCAGGAGAACTTGCTGTGCCAGAATGCCTGTCCAGAAAATACTTGAAAAATTCATGAAAATCAGTCTGGAATCAGAATACGTTCCAGCCATCTCTTGTTTCCGTGTAATTAACAGTGCATTTACTGCTATTGCCATTTTGGCTGTGGACTTCCCACTTTTTCCCAGAAGATTTGCCAAAACTGAGCTCTATGGGACAGGAGCAATGGATTTTGGAGTAGGAGGTTTTATTTTTGGGACTGCAATGGTTTGTCCAGAAGTCAGGAGAAAATACACGGAAGGGTCCAGATTTTATTATCTTACAAAGTCCTTGTACTCTGTTTGGCCATTAGTTTTCCTAGGAGTAGGACGATTAGTCATTATAAAATCCATAGGCTATCAGGAACATTTAACTGAGTATGGAGTTCACTGGAACTTTTTCTTTACCTTAGTAGTTGTGAAACTGTTAACATCACTGCTTTTGATTATTTTTCCTCTAAATAAATCCTGGATTGTGGCCATCAGCACTATTGTGTTATACCAGCTAACCCTCGACTTTACCCCACTGAAAAGGTTAATTTTATATGGCACTGATGGTAGTGGCACAAGGATTGGTTTATTAAATGCCAACCGAGAAGGAATAATCTCTACCTTGGGGTATGTGGCAATTCATATGGCTGGTGTGCAAACAGGGTCATATATGCTTAAAAAAAGATCACATGTCAAAGACTGGATAAAAGGAACGTACTGTATTCTGCTGACAGCTATTAGCCTCTTCATATCTCTTTACATAGTTCAGGTAAATGTAGAAGTAGTATCTCGGAGAATGGCCAATTTAGCCTTTTGTATTTGGATAGTTGCTTCTAGCCTGATCCTTCTTAGTAGTTTATTACTGGGTGATATAATTTTGAGTTTTGCAAGATTTCTAATTAAAGGGGCTGTAGTGCCATGTTCTTGGAAACCAATCCAGTTGTCTGCCACAAATAAAAAGCATTCAGAATCTCTAGTCTCTGAAGCTGAAAGAAAGGAACCCAGTCTTTGTTTAATTACAGCTATGAACAGAAACCAGTTAATTTTTTTCTTGCTGTCAAATATAACTACTGGTCTGATCAACCTGTTGGTAGATACGTTATACAGCAGTACCTTGTGGGCCTTAATTGTGCTCAATCTCTATATGTTTACCAACTGTTTAGTTATATATGTGTTACACTTGCAAGATAAGACTATAAAATTGTGGTGATCAGCATAGGTACAAAGTACTTGTGTTACAAAAATATTATTTTAATGAGGAAGAATATTAAATGTGAAGAAAGTGGGCTTTTGGCAACCCAGTGCTAACCATATTATAGAATTGAGTTTCAATCCTCTATAATAGTAGTGATGCTTACTGTTTTAATGTATCCTAACACCATATAATTTTAAAGAAACTGCAGTCGTGACACTGAAAGATTAGAGGGTAGGGAGGAGGATTTTTACTTTCCATCTTATATCACAAACCATTCTGTATTTTTTTATTGTATGACTTATAATAAAATTTACATTAAAACATCTCAGCATGATCGTGAAATTGTCAACACTTCTTTATTTTTTTTTTAAAGATTTTATTTATTTGACAGAGAGAGTGAGCACAAGCAGGAGAGCTGGAGAAGCAGACCCCTCGATGAGCAGGGAGCCTGATGTGGGGCTTGATCCCAGGACCCTGGGTTCATGACCTGAGCCAAAGGCAGAAGCTCAACCAACTGAGGCACCCAGGCACCCCTGTCAACACTTCTTTACTGCTCAATTTTAACCTATTAAAAACGCCTATGTATAAGAAAGCAGGTGTTGACAACCAAACACATACTATAAAGTCAGAAAACAATTAAATGCTCCAAAGAATGGACTGAATTGTGCGATGTAGTTTACATGCCTAGTAATTATGAGGTGATAGTTTTACTTCAGGACTAATTATTTTTTTTTAGCAACTCTGCTAGGGATGATAAGCAGGTTTCTTGGTATCTTGGAGCTTGTAATCCGTGGGGAAACAGACATTGAACAACCATTACAAACTGTGGTAAGTCATGAAGTATAGGTTACCAAGAGTGTCAAATCAAGAACTGATCTAGTAGAGGGCGCCTGGGTGGCTCAGTTGGTTAAGCGACTGCCTTCGCCTCAGGTCATGATCCTGGAGTCCCTGGATCGAGTCCCGCATCGGGCTCCCTGCTCAGCAGGGAGCCTGCTTCTGCCTCTGACCCTCCCCCCTCTCACGTGCTCTCTCTGTCTCAAATAAATAAATAAAATCTTAAAAAAAAAAAAAAAAAAAAAGAACTGATCTAGTAGAGTCAAAGTTTTCCCCACATACGGTATT